GCATTCCGAAAATGGCTAATTAGCGGCTTACCAAAATTGGTAATTATCAGCGGGATGTCTGATCTACAGATTGAGACTCGTACATAGATCGACACCTGATTGACATGCAGTTCGAGACAAAAAAGCTTGATCGAATTGTGCAAGCCCCAAAAAGGCATTCAGAAAGCAATCTTTTGTCATATATAGAGAACCCAGAACAAGGAGTTTCTTAATCAGGAGTTTGGCATTGTTTCCCGAATTCTCTACCAATTTCCTGAAGAGCCATTAATTAGTCACTTGCCTTGGCCATGAGTAAATATACCGTTCATCTGTGGGGGAAACATCGGCAGCTGTTGCCTAATTAAATCGAGGTGACAGACGATCAACTGAAATGTGAGTTGACCAACCAAATTAGTAATCTCGCATCGTGACAGACGACAAATCGCCTTAAATGAACGACTTCAAATGTAATTTTTGTGGGATTTTTATTAACTGTTTTTGGTTGTTGTAGCTCATTGTGCTTCCTCTTCGTGTGTGGGCGTTTTGAGTTAACTGTAAAATGAGTTTTTATATGTTTTTTTGGCCAAGTTATTCAGGTCTCCGACGTGTATTTCATGTTGTAATCTTGAGCTTTGCTTAACCCCAAGATGGAGTTCGGTGTGGAGTGTTCCTTTGTTATGTCATCTTGAGCTTGTTTCGATTCCGTTTTTTTTCTTTAATTTTAAATTAAATATTCATCAATAAATGTCAATGTCAAGTGAAGTTGCCGCTTGCTTTGAGGGTCTCGAAATTTTGGGATAAGAGATTGCAGTTTGCTGAAAGATTCAACAGCTTGGAGTTTTGATGGCAAAAATGAAACATGAGATTGCTGGGTGAATCCATGAGGGATAATAAATCCAAGTTGTGTTTCGATGTTGTTTACTTCACTGGCTGATTGAAGATAAAATTTCTTTTGAATGATTTTTGTGCCAGTTTAATCTGGAATAATCTTACTTCTGTTCTTAAAAAGTGAGTGATTTTAATTTAAAGAAATCTTTTTGGGAAAATTAGTTTCAAGATTAAATTTTACAAATAATACAAATATTGAGGATTTTTAAAATAGTTATCTCTACAGTATTCAAATTTTAAAAACTCTGTGATCGCATCTCATTTCCAGCCACAACTTCCTTCCTATATCTTGGCAGGGTTATAACTTCCTTCCCCGATATCTGGCCAATCCATATGGCATTTCCCATTCCGTTCCACTGACCAACTTATAGAACTCGCACTTTGCAAACTCGTTTAACCGCCGATTCCGAAGTGCGACGCAATTGTTCGAGTTGGGCTGCCAGAGATACGAGTACTCGAACCCGTACTCGTATTTATTCATACTTGCCCGTGCGGTGCGGTGACTCTAGTATATTTTTATGTGTAGTTTTCTTATATATATTTCTTATTTTTTTTTGCATTCAGCCAGCACTTCAAGGTTATAATGAGCAACATATGCTGCGGGTACACCAGAAAACTGCAACTGCAACTGCAAATGCAATCAACTGCAAAGGCACAACTAAAAATGCACTTCAACGTTGCCGACGACGATTTGTTCTTTTGTGTGGCAACTAAAGCGAGGCATTTTTCACGTTTTTCCGCTGCCTCCGAGCTGTTCTTGAGCTTTTTCTGAGGCGTTCTGCTTAGTTAAACTTTTGCCTGATTGATGTTTGTCAGCTGCTGCCCAGCGGCCTTAGAAATGGTTGCAACATCGCCTAGAACCGATGGAGAATTAAAGTGAATTATACACATAATTGCTTTTTTTTCAGTCTCCGTTGTTCTGTCCAGATGCGACTGGTACTCGTAATTCAATTAAACATTTTGCACATATTTTCGCTGTTGGAATAAAAACAATACTCCCAACAATTGGTCACGTTTCGTCACCAACAACTGCAGTACCCGCATTGAGTTGTGATCATAAAAATGGTTGAGGTGTAAATGATCGGACCTAGCTACCTTATAGAGATGGCCAGGAAACGCCTTTTAGATATCTTGAATATTCGAAAACGAATATTTGTAAAAGTGATTATCTTAATTAATGAATAAATTAATGTTCTAAATGGAAAACTACTAAAAACGGGATTTAATTGACAAATTAACACTTTTCTCTGCGTGGTAAATTAAGAATTTATTAACCAAATTAAAACACAAAACAGAAATAATAACTGACCCTTAATTAACACCTATTTAAAGTGTGAATTATAAACACGAAATATAAAAGTTAATTGGCATTATTAGGCGTTAATTGAATTATGTTTAATCAAGTACAAAAAATCAGACAAAATGATTTGTTCTGAGATTTTAGATAATAAACAGATAAACTTGGTTAAACCAAGTCACCCTTTTACTAGAGAATTTAAAACATTCCCACTTAAGCAAAGATTAAATCACAGTTTAGTTAGTATTGCTTACGTATTTTTCCGATCTTAGATTAAATCACAGTTTAGTAACCCATGGCAATTTATGCGCTTTCCGATCACTTGGATAATTTACATTGACGCTACACCGCTTGTGCCAGCACCGAATGAAAATATATCTCATATGTAAATGCGATAGCAAACGAAATGAGTTGGTAAATAATTTTCCACACAATTTGCAATTAGTAATAACATTTTTATCGGGCTTTGGCGTTGGCTGTGGTTCGTCAATTTCATCATAAAGGCAGTACACGGGGAGAAATGTTTTGTTCCCTATTGTTAAGATCTTTATCTTGATAATAAAGTACCAGAAAAAAAGGAAATAATCATACAAAGGTTAAAGCAATGTCTTAGAGCTTAAAAATTATCGATATTTTCGATACTTTGACAATTTCGGTTCGATAATATTGATAATCATAATCATCAATAATCTAAAATTTCTACCTTTAATAAATCGAATCTTACTAAGAAAAATATCCCTAAAATATTTTAAGTACTGTAAGGACATAATCAAAGGAGTTCAGAGTTGATGAAGAATTGTGGTGGCATTTGTTCTCGGTGTACCCGCATCGCCATGGCATGGCTAGTTATATAAGTTGGCCAGGCAATAATGATCCCTGCCGTTGGCTTCGCTTCGTTTCTGAAGCTGGCAGATTTTCAAGGTTAAAAGCGACTTTGCGATGGCGCGCGGTGAGCGCACGTGAGTTACCTCAGCTGCTAGCCAGCGAACTGCATGGCAAACTAGTTTCAAATGCCTGGCAGTATCTTACAGATACAGATGCTAAGGCTGCGGCAAAGGAGTGGCTCTTAACTCGCTTCACTTCGGTTCGGTTCGGATCGGCTTGGCTTGGCCTGGCCTGGCCTGGCATGCAATTAAATACAGATTTTTTGCGCTCTTGCAACTGCAACTGCAAACGCAACAGCTGTGGGCTCGTTTCGATTCGTTTCGAGTTCAAGGCTATTGGGTCAAATTGCAAATTAGTCGCCTGCAGGTTGACAGTGAGTGACATTATTGTGTATCTGCAAACTGACCACCGACAAAGAGGCAGAGGCAGACAGATGGATGGAAGTATCGGCTAGATTGTCGGACATTCTTGCCGTCCCGGTAATGGGTAATCGGTAAGATAGATACTCGTACTTCTGCCGCCGGCTGCTGGCGATTTGTATAAACTTTGCATTACAATCAATCATTTGTCGCTGGGCAATGGCTTTTTAAGTAAGTAAACATTAAGAAATCATACAGATGAAAATGTACACCCAACTAATGGGGAGCTCACAATTTATGCGCATATCAAGTGGCCAGCTTAGCAGCGCATTTACCTATCAACGCTTTTGTTGTCGATTTGCATGAAATTGCAAGTGGAGAAAAAAGGGGAATTCAAACAGAAGACAAAGATACGCTTTTCGTTACATGCATAAATGATGCTCAAGCTGGAAGATCCCACTGGCAGATACAGATACTTTTCAAGTTGGGCCACTCAAGTGGATGCCAAGAGCAATGTTTGCCAAAGATACAAAAAAAAAAAAACGAAAAAATTCTTAGGAGCAAGTGAGCCCGAGAATCGGCAATGACGTGTAAACAACCGAGATACAAATGTATCTTCAGGCGGATCGTAAGATACTTAGCGCTGCGAATAAGTGGAATATTGTTTGCCATTGTTCATGGATATATTTCAAAAAGGGGAATCGGCGATGAAAAATGTGTATTTAGGAAGTTATAAGATGGTTGGATCCGTTTTTATTGATGGTTGGTCAAATTACGAAATATTCCATATCAATTTACGAAGTAAACCTTTAATGACTAGTTTTATTGGATAATATTACTTAATTAAGGGACTGCAAAAACCATTAAACATGTGCATCGACATCTTATTCGTACATTTATCTTAAAAACACCATTTTGTGCGTTTTCCTGCTGCACCGGCATATAAAGATATTCCATTTTAATGTGCACTGAAGCCTGTAACTGGTGGGGGCTACCAGATCGTTTTATGGGCGGCTTTATGATCGCAGAGGACTTGCCATAATTACTGCAGGTTTTACAGTCAGTCGGCTAAGTGGCAGTTGGCAAGACAATGCGATGCCCCGACCTTAGACACTTCCCTACATTGTCACTGAGTCAAGTCGTCTTGATTCCAGACCCGGCCAATGCCACCTTTGTTTACCTCATCCATTGTCGGGTGATCTTTATTACGGGCATAAATAAGTACACAGTGCAACATCAAAAGGGTGAACTAATTTTAATTGTTTTAAAAACTGAATTAATTTTATTTTACTAGAACTTATTGCAAACTGTAGGTAACTGTAGAAATTAATAATTGTTTTAAGAACTGAATTAATTTTATTCTACTAGAATTAATTACAAACTATAGGATTTTTTTTTTTTATATAAACATTATTTAACATTTTATTACAAATTTAAACATTTTCAGATAAACTTAAAATATTTAAAATACCTATAAATATACACATTATATCTTTGACGTGTAAAATACCCATTATTACTGATTATAAATAATGAAATATTTTTTACCGAATATTATTTTAATTATTAAACCTCTCCCTTTCTTCTTGCAGCCCCGCAAATCTTCCAGTATCCACCGCCGCCGAGCCCCTCTTGCAATTTCACGAGCGGCGATGTGTTCTTCCCCCACGGCCACCCGAATCCGAATCCGCACCCGCGCACTCCCCGCACCAGCGTGAGCTTCTCCTCCGGCGAGGAGTACAACTTCTTCCGGCAGCAGCAGCAGCAGCCGCAGCCACATCCGTCGTATCCGGCGCCATCGACACCGCAGCCAATGCCACCGCAGTCAGCGCCGCCGATGCACTGCAGCCACAGCTATCCGCAGCAGTCGGCGCACATGATGCCCCACCACTCGGCGCCCTTCGGGATGGGCGGTCCCTACTACGCCGCCTACACGCCGCCACCCACTCCGAACACGGGCAGTGCGGGCACCTCCACCTCGTCGGCGGCCTTCGGCTGGCACGGCCACATCCACAGCCCCCTCTCGTCGACATCTACGCCCCTGTCGGCGCCAGTGGCGCCCAAGATGCGCCTGCAGCGCAGCCAGTCGGATGCGGCCAGACGGTGAGTAGCCAGCAATCCAGGGTGCCAAACGGTAAAATGCCTGGGAGATGCGAATACAGATTCAGATCGAAGAGCTCCCGAAAATGTGGGAGGCAAGATAGATAGATGACCAAGAGATAATTGATTTAAACTTGGATTAATAATAAAATCAGGAAAATATTATATGATAGTCTGAGGTTGAGAAAAAAAAATTTTAATAATTATAAAGATGATCAGGTTTATATTCTAGTAAGCAGTTTAAAAATGTTTAAGAAATAATGCTATTAGGAAGTTTAAGTGATATATTTGCTTCGCTTTCATTTCACTGATTAGACACATTCTTCAGAGAGACAACTATACCCAAGCTATTTGCAAATGATTCGAAATAAAGTACCGTGTGTAATAGCAAGATTATTTACCGCAATCTGAGCACCTCGCGTCCCGCCCGAGACCCCTATTCCAATTCCCATGACACTACGCCAAGTTTTTAATTAATGAAATCGCAAAGTTGTCGCTGGATTATGCGCACACACGAGAAGAGGCATACATACAGTGCTATACAAATCCGAACCGACTGATAATTGCTCATGACGTTCCCAAGTCACTCGTCTATATATTCAGCGATATTTATGGTGCCCCATTATGTGTCTCTTCCCACAGCAAGCGATTGACCTCGACAGGCGAGGATGAGCGCGAGTACCAGAGCGATCATGAGACCAGTTGGGACGAGTTTGGCGATCGCTACGACAACTTTACGGCCGGACGGGAGCGCCTGCAGGAGTTCAATGGACGCATTCCACCCCGGAAGAAGAAGAGCTCGAATAGCCACTGCAGCAGCAATAATAATCCAGTCTGCCAAAGCCAGCCCAATAGTTCATCCCATGAGGAGAGCGGTGCCACCAATAGCCACATCAGTCAGCAGCGACAGGTGGAGCGGGAGCAAAAGCGGCAAAAGGCGAAGGCTGAGAAGAAGGTAAGAAATGGTTATCAATTAATATTAAAATATTTAAATAATAATATATAAAATAGTGGATATATTTAGAAAGGAATTCAAACTGCCAGGCCCCTTCTATACCAAAGAGTCACTCCCCCCAACTATCCATCCATCCAGCAATTAGAATAACAAGAGGAGATAAGTTGGGGAGTTCATTAACTCGGGGCTTTACACATCTGCTAGTTCTGCTAGCTCTTGCTGCCTCAAAAGCCGTGGCACGTGGCAAACATTTTTCAAAGGCTCAACCGGAGGAGCAGTGCTAAAAATACGCGCCAAGAATGACAAATTGCCACACGCGAAAGGAGTCGCAGATTCAGATGGGAGATACGCTGGCAAATGTATCTGTATTTAGTAGAGTGTGTATAACACTTTTTGCACATGCTAAATGTGTGATAAAAATTAATTGCGCAGTGCGGAGAGAAAGAGTCGCTCATGTCACTTGTCTCCACTCTCCACTCGTCCCGCCTCGCTTTATGTTAATCAAGGCAGGCGCCTCTATATAACCATATATATCCCCCCTAAGTCGGGCCTTTGTGACGACGGCCCTCATTGAGCTCACTTTTTTACGCGTCGCGTTTTTTAGTTTTAGTTTCTTGCGTTGCGCGTTTGCCTGCGCAATTGAAAAATATGCAAACTGGAAGAAATTCAATCGCAATCGCATGACACACACATCGACTCGGACCTGATACCATTTCCACTCCATTTCAGTCCTATATTTTATTATTCCAATTCACTTTGATTTGTTTTTTTTTTATTGTAATTGATGTTGGGACTGGTCTGGTCTGGTTGGTCGGGGTGTTCTTATCGCCCATCGCTTTGTGGGGGCTCATCCTTGGGGAAGCTGCGGGCCGATCGGGAAGCTAAACGGCGGCTCACTCGGCCCGCTGGGATCTGACCTTATCCGAGACTCGTCAGCTGCGAAATGAGAGCGTGAGAAATTCCGTAATCTGAAATGTACAGGCATACACACTTTGGAATATTCTACATAGCTGATAAGGGGGGAAAATTAATGGCAGTTTTTCTTAATAAATTAGTAACATGTATCCCAACTAATTGTTTCCAAAATTTATATCATTTCTATCATATAATTTTCATTATTTTATCAAAATAACATCGAGTCCTCGTGTTTAATTCGTAATAATATCTCCTCTCACCAGAAATCGAATCAAAATATGGCCACATGTTCGATGGCCTTTCATACCATTAACCGCAGCGACAAAGCCGCAAAAGTCCTACCAAAATATATCCCAAAATTCGAGTAAAAATAGCAGAAAAGCAAATTTGCATAATCAATGTGTGGGGTGGTCAGTGGGATTTTTGGTGGTTGTACTTCCACCACCTCCTCATCGTTCACACGTGCCACACTGCAACCATTGAAGCGTGGAGTATTGGACAAATAAATGGTGTAAATTATATAACCATTGATGCGGGCAGGGGGAGAGTCAAGTGTGTTATATAGAAAAATAATTACACCAGTGACCGGACAAAAGTTGACCGCCCATTTGGGTCAGGCCACATGAAGTTCATCCGCTGGAGAGTCAATAGTTTCGCTTGATTTACGGTTCAAACTGATTGAGTGGCGGGGGATTCGTGGCCTTTCGGAGGGGTGGTTTCGGTCACGTGTGCGGTTTTAGATATTTTATGCCACACAGGGGACCTATTGGTTAGAATGTGTCGATTTCTTCTGGGTTGTTGGGAGGTATTTGTATTTAAACAAATGCTATTTGTTTAAAAATTTATATGCGAAATGTAAGACAAATAAGTAAACCCCGCTTTTCTCTTCTCCTTCCAGAAACCACAGAGCTTCACTTGGCCAACTGTTGTGACCGTCTTCGTTTTGGCCATGGGCTGTGGATTCTTTGCGGCGCGATGAAACCGCAGGAGACGTGTTTAAGGGACGCGCTTTAGATATATGCCGATCTTTACATAGATATAGCTAAACCGTAATAAGTGCAACGAATTTATTGAACTGCAGGCCGCAAGCAGAAAGTCATTAATTCGTAAACGGATTGTTATATACATACACAGCCAACATACATAAGATTAAGAAGGTTGACGGGACACAAGAACAATATATTCTATCTGTCTATGGTAACTGCATTTGTATTTCTAAATCGAAACGAAACGAAACAGTACTTTCCTCAAAGTGAACAATTGAAACTGCTCAAAGTAATGAAAACTCTTAGACTGGCAAGAGACTCAAATCACACTTATTTTTTTGCTGATGCATATTTTTGTACAACTTTTGAGAGATATTTACAAATTATACAAGTACAAAAAAAAAGAGAAAGCAAAAGATAAAACTGCCAACTTTTTGAGACACTTTTGATAATCTTTGATTCGCATTTAATCATTTCCACACTTGCATTTTCGTTAACCACAAACAAAATTATTTATATTGTAGAGCAAGGTAAACTGCAATTTCAATGTCTTCGCATTTGTAATTCCGAATTGCAAGCAAAACAAAAATTATATTTTAAATATGTTTAACTAGTAGAATTTTTTAAATGTAAGTCCACAAAAAAATCACACACCTAGCTTTAATTGTTAAAAGAAAATCAGAGAAAACGCAACAAAAAAATGAATGAAAAATCATTAAATTAATTTTGTATATAGTTTTATGCCATTTTTGTGATGTTTTGTGTCTACGGTTTATGTCATGTTATTTTAGTTAAATTTCTTATGATTTATGTTTATTTGTAATTTTTTTGTCATTGTTTGTTCATCATCATATTCAAATTGGTCTCACAATATAGTAGTCTTAAGATCCACGCCCAGGAAGTTGATGGCAAAACGAATGAAACTTGGCCAAGAGAGAGATGGTTTTCCCATTCGTACACAGTCTTTTTTGGAATGCACATCAATGATCTCTCACAATGGAAATTAATGAAAATTGATCTCCACAGCTAGCCAAAGTTAAAAAAGAAATGAAGAGGAAAACATACTTTATAGGCAATTTTCACTATTTGCTTCGAATTTCCAGGGCGTTTCAATGCTAATCGAATACCGTGACATGAAAGCAAACATAGCGAAAATAATAAGAGAAAATGAATCAAAAAGAAAGAAAAAACAATTCCCAAAAATCGCATTGATCTCATGGATTTATACAATACAAATACATCAACCGTTTTTTACAATGAGAAATGTTATAAAAAGCAGAAAGTGAAACAGAGAAACAGAAACAAAAATTAATGAAAAGGTTAGGCTTAAGTTCGCCAAGCGTTTTAGTTCTACGTTCTAGAATGTTTAAGTCGGTTTAGTGAGTTTATTGAGCTGTCTTCGGACACGAGTTTATTTGTATATAAAGCAATATTATTTGTGTAGCCTAAGTGACAGCCCCAATCAAATCCCCAGTCCCAATCCAGACAATTCCCAGCATCGCAATAGAACTTCTTCTCGTACACATGTATCAATCTTAATTTGAATAACCACAAAACAGAAACACTACATCCATACCCAATGAAAAATTATTTTTGTAAATTTTTTGCATCAAATGAACCGAGATGTCAGTTGGGGAATTATCCTGGCCGCTTCTTCGGTTTATTGCTAATTAGTTTTCACAATGATCTCGGTAAAGTTTTATGGCCTTGCGCCCAGAAGTCGATAAGATTTCTGGTTTGCCGTAAATACTCGAACAAAAAGTTAAAGAAAAACGAAGCAAGTGGAAAAAAAATCAGAACGACACACAAAAAATTTATATTTTTGACCCAATGCGACTTAATCCGTTTTTAAATTTAAGTATCTTTACTCGACCTTGTAAATAGCGCAGTTGGAATCATAGAATCAAATGCCATTTTTTGTATAGAATTTTGTTTGGTGCCAAAACAGTGACAGCTAATTGTCTATGAACACGTGTATTTCGCATATTATACATTTATACATATATCGTAACTTCAATCATAAGTTTGATTCTGCAATTTTGTCAATTCAGTTTAAGAAAACATTTATGTTTTAGTTTTATGTTCGAACGCAGAACACATTTGTTTACTTGTACATTTTATATTATGCTGTAATATTTTAATATACATAAATATCATTACTGATCTCATGAATATGTTCATAAGACAACAAAAATTATAAATATGATACATCTATGTGTATGTGTGAATGAAAAAAGCGCATAAATATTATGTAAGATTTACAAAACAAATAAAAATAAAAAATATTTCAAATAAAAAATCTAGTGTTGAATGGAAAAACAGGGATTGGCGGAGGCTGTAATTGACAAATTTGAAAATAGACAGTACCTAAAACTAAAAAATCGATACAGAAACAACAGCAATAAATAATTCTTAAAAATTTAGGTAGTAAAAACGTATAGATTTCTACATGAATTTTACACCGATCAAATATAACAGAAATTTTAAAAGGCCTACTTTCAGGCAGTTTTGGAAACTATTTTCGTATACGATCAATGAATCATTGCGTGCTGGTTTTTCTCCTCCCCTGAACAAGAACACCTCTCCGACAATTTTCAGGGGTGAAGTGTGCGTGCGAGAGAACTTTTTCCGATTTAAATGGCAAATGCTGGCCACTTAGGCGGCAAGTAAGCGAGCGAAAGCCTAAACCAATTTGTAGTTTATTTTCCTCTTGTGGTTGCGGATTAAGTGGCCATAATTGCTGCTCCTGCCAGCCGCGCCACGCGACTTGGTAACGGGATACTAGGCCACGTTGGTCATGACACAAAAATGATGGGTTATTAACGGCTTAAGCAGGCGATGACGACGATTATAATGAAACGCGGCACCAGGCTGGGCAATTATGTTAACCTGGCCACCCGAAAATCTCAGGCTCAGCGGTCATGACATCCGTTTCCACCTTCAATCACGGGCACATGCAAGTGTCAATCAAAACGGCATATTTAATCTGAATCTAATATTTTCATTGAGTTCAGGCGCGTGTCCGTCTCGCCTGAACGAATATTGAATAGCGACTGCTAATCGGAGCCTCGAAATCATACAAGTTTTCAATTACATTTTAAACAAAACTAATCAATAGTCCCATTCCCTTCTCTCGGTTTATAGTAATTACTTTTCGGTTCGACACCTGCCAACTGCAATAAACAAAAGGAAGCAGGACATTGTGTCATTTATTGGCAGAGTTTATGGGAAGTAATAGTCCCCCCGAAAAACTCACCGCAAACTATTCCATTTATTAAAATTATATAACATTTGTGGAAATTGGAAATTATCCCTGAATTAAACGTAATTAACTGCCTGCTGTTTTTAGAGATTGTGGTTGTAAATATGGTTAACTTTATTCTATAATGATACCTAACCATAAATACTTAACAGTAGCTTCGAACTTAACCCTTCATCTGAATGGTTTTTCTCACCCTACCATCCTTGAAAGTTTTCCCAATCCCTTTGATTTTGTCCTTACCCTAGCATAATGTTTTCATATGTTGTAATTAAGTTGTATCCTACTTAACTATTCGCCACTTGAAAGTCACTTAAAAGTAATTCAATTATAAATAAAACTCATTGAGAGTGTTGCCCATATGCTTATATCAGTTTTTAGCAAAAGTGGAAGGAAGAAAAAGTTAATTTCATTAAAGGAGAAAGACTCCCAGACTTCGAATAGCTTAACCCCGTTGGTTGTGTGAACTGCACGGGCAGCAAAAATGCATTAAATATTTATAACAAAGTGCACGTGGAGAACAAATCCCTCCCTGTCTCCCAAGAACCTACAGGTATGGATGCATATAAGTGGCTCATGGAACATGCACACAAATGTAAGAAACTTGTCTCGTTTGTCTGCGATGTAATTCCCATACCCCCTTAACCTGCCGGTAACATGTGCATTTTGCCACATGTTTTGAAGCCGGAGAAAGGATAAATAAATCGATATTAAATTTTTTATCAATAATTTGTTTAAATAAATCCTAGGACTTATTTGTTGCCAGTTTGTCGTGTATTTAAGATGCCCCTTATTTTAAAGGTCTCTATTATAAACAGCAATAAAAAAGTTTCGTCCAATTAAATAATATTGGACATTTACATTCATTTTAAAATGCCAGAATTTGATTTGCTTTCTAAAAGGGTCCGGTTTACTTTGTGTGCCTGAGGCGCCATGGTATTTACTCAGCTCCAACTTAGCTCGTATCTTAAAAGTGATAAGCCCATGTCACTGCAGAAATAGGAAAGCAGGAAGCACAAGGACAAGTTTCCCGAGGATTCAGGGGAAACTGTTAAGAAGTATGGCAAACGGAAGGAAATAAACATTCTCATATCTGAGAAATGGTTTGAGTAAAACTCGTAAATTTTCCTGGCCTGCAGGCCATCAGCTGGATAACTCATCAGAGAGGCAATATATGGCGATCATAATCAACGTCTTTTGGCACTTTATTGACAAACTAATAAAAACCGAGAGAGTCGGGAAGTCCAGGCTGAAAGGATGTTCAACGAGAGACGAATAGATACTCGTAGATGGTAGCGAACGATTTATTAAAATCCTTGTACATGGCATACATAATAAAAAGACACCAGAACAGGAGACCCTTGCTGACCGTTGATGTGATGAGTAATTTGCTTTTGGCTTTTAATACGGCACATCTACACTCTGAGAAAATTAATGTAGGTATATTATTTTTTAGAAAAAGTCTTAAAATTTTTACCAAACGTTAGTATTTTACATTTTAGTTTAATTTCCTAATCTCTACAAAATAGATACAATTTTTTTGTATATAAGAATTTTATGAGAAGTTTATTTTATGATAAAGTATTTTCTGTATCTGCATAAACCCGTCCAGACAACGAATAGTTGCAGGACACGGAAATTAGTGCGGAAACGCTTACTACGCTTAGCAATCTGTCAAAAAGCCAAAATGTAATAAATGAGACCCGCACGACGGAGGGGGTGGGATGTCTGGGGGCCATCAACATAATTCATACGACATGCCATAGCAGGACAAAAGGTTGACCATCCAAGGACAAAGGCGCCAACTGGGACTGGACTGTCTTTTATGGCAGCAGATGCACCATATTTCATTACACGTTGATAAGTGGTCATTTGTCCAGGACCGAATACGGTCGGAAAATGGCTGAAACTCCGAGTGAAGTGTGTTTCCTGCATGCCAACAGGCATTTCATAATAATTTTACAACCTTTTTACGCAAACCTGCAGCCAGGACCCCTTTGATTAAATACGTAAAACAAGCATTTTTAGAGGACTGACTTCACATTTTGAGCTCAGGAAGTAGACGGTGAGGAAATAACGTTACCACTCGTAAGGTAATGGTTTTTTATTCATATGTTTATTAGTATGTGCACGATTTTTCGCCTGCTTGCACTTGAACTTTCTGAATAATTGGGAATCGCAGTCTATTATCCATACTTTTTTAATGCAAAATATATGACAAACTGCCAAGCTTTAATATTATTAAAAACAAATTTATTACTTTACTTTAACGTTTTTGTTAATACCGTATTTTACATTTAAAAGTAGTGGGCTCCATATCTCGTTTACGGGCCATAACTATTTAAATTCTTAATATATATTTTTGAAACGGTTTAGATAAATTATTTTTAATTAAATAAAATTGTTTTGTTTTTTTCAGTAGATAAATATTAAAAAAAAAAGTCGAATTCAAATAAAATAATGTTCTAATCAAAATAGAATGTTGGAAAAATGTGATGACGCCATCCCACTGCCACGATTGTAGAGTCCGGAGTTTCATTAAACTAAAAGACAAAATATTGTTTTTTCAAAATATTAAAATTTTTAAAAAGGTTTAAACTCACTAGCCGTTGCATCTCCTCAAAGTGATTTCTATTTGTTAGCAAAAGAAAAGGACCACTTCTGTTAATAGCGCCATTCTGCTTTATAATTTTTATAAACGATGCAGCGAAATCGGGAGACAATTTGTGGTCATCAGGAAGTACCAGAAATAGTTGTCGCAAATTTGTTGCACAACTAAGCAATTCTAGAAACTTAGTGTCTGAAAACTTTTTGGCATAAAAGATCAACATCTCGAGGGTTTCCGCGTGTGCCTTAATGAAGTTGCATTCGTTGCTAATATGAAAATGAAGATCAACCATCCATAGTCTTTGCAGATTTGGAAACTTTGGGACTTCTTCTAGGGTTCGCAACCATAGAGCTGAAGGTACTCAATGGATGTAGACATTTCCTCTGACCCTTGACTTTGAATTTTAAAGTTCAACAAGGTCAACTCCGAAAGACTTGGTAGTGTCTGACACACATCACGCAGGCATATGAATTCTTTTTGGTTGTAAGAATGTAATTCCAAACTTTCCAATTCACGCAGTTCTTGTACGTTAGGAACTAAAATAACAATAAATACAAAGAAAATTAGGTTTCAATTGATTGAAGTTGAGGTACTAACTAAGGATATATATTTACAATATGCTAAAAAATATTTTATTCGATTATAATTTGTATACCCGCTACTCGTCGAGTAAAATTTGGAAACAGGTAGAAGGAAGCGTTTTCGACCCTATAAAGAATATTTCGTTGTAATTATCGAAACATACCATTTTGTAATTGTAGGTACTGACACGATAAATAGTTACAATTTATGGAGAATAAAAATACTTGTTATTTTTCCATTTTAAAAAACGTACCTCCTTTTCCGGAAAAAATTTGCAATGATAAATGCCTTAAGTTTGGAAGATTTAACATGGCGTCAATGGCTTCTTTTGGATCGGGAAGTCTCAAGGTGATCGTATGGAGTTCTTTGTGTTGCAAGACCAGGTCTTTGGCCGCGCCGCCATCAAACTCAGATAACACCTGCAAGACTTCCAAGTTCTTGCAATACTTTCCAAACAAATTCACCAGACGATCTTCCGCTTTCGCATCTATAAAATTGAGTTCGATGACGTCCGAACCGCATATTTCCAATATGATAGCCCACGCTTCAAAGGGCAAGTCCCCGGTTCTTATGCTTTGAAATTGATGACCGATGTGGTGTTTGAATGCATTTCGAAAAATTGGGTGCACCTGTGCCAATTGGATTTTGGCATGGAGAGTCAGTTCTCCAAATATACACCAAAGAACCTTTGCAGGCAAATCCAAAATACTTTTTGTGCCGCTCATTTTCAAGAAAACTTTAAGGAGGAAATGGAAACTGCTGAAAATCGAGGTCCGGAAATGAAACATACATACTGTTATCGATAATCAACTATGCACGTTCAGAAGTGCTTTCGTGAGAAACAGTTGGAATTCTTGACAAACGTGAAATTCTGATTCCCACTTATAACCTCTTCCCATAGAGTCCATCCGTGTGAAACGGTTGGGATTTTTGACAAATGTGAAATTCGTGTTCCCATAGAGTTTCCATCCACATCCACATCCAATAACAGCTGACTTGAAGAGCAGTTGCTCAACTCAACATAAAAAAGGGGGATTTCAACTCGGCAAAACTGTCGTAAAATTGCGTTGTCCTAATCTTATTTTAGAATAATACAATAAATAGCATTAGATAACAGTTTAAAACATATCTGAGCTTATATAACATATTTCATACGAAATTGGGGGAGAGCCTAACCTCCAGTACCCTACAATCCGCTCTTATTGCGTCTCTGCCTAGCCAATATTAATATATCAAATTTGTCATTTATAGCAACTTTGTAACTTTATAGGGATACATAATACACTTTTAATCAATATTAGTTGGTATTTACGAATTGCAGAACATATTCTGAGACTTCGCTGCAAACATTTACCTTTTCGTACGCAGCTTAAATTTTGGCCCACTCATAGCAACCTGTTTGCGAATGCTTTTCCGCCCATAACAAACTACAAATAATTAAAAAAATTTCCCAAAAAACAATGAGCTGAAGCATTATTTAATTTTATCCCGCCATTTGATTTGTCCTCGCAGTCATCGTTCCAATTTTCACAGTCAAGAGAAAGAATTCAGAGTTGCACCGAGATAACATCGCCTAACTATCGCATAAAAGAGCCCGTCAAAGTCCGGACTAACTGAAAAATTTTCGGAACGGCAAAACCTTACGGACCATCCTTTCAACGAATGGTAGGTGGAGCTCTGTGGGAAGACCCTATTAACCACTTCATAATAGCTAAATTAAGCAGCAGTTGCTCATCAAACCACAAGGCGAAACTGATGTAAACTTTCCATTTACTGCTTTTATTTTTATACCCTTTCAGAGGGTAGTTTAATTTCAGTCAGAATTTGACATTGGAGTAGAGGATACGTTTCCGACCACAAAAAGTATACATATTCTGCATCAGTCGATCGTGTCATGTCCGTCTGTCCGTTTCTTTGCGAACTGTGTTATTCAACCTAATAAAAAGTAGTCGGGTTGTTCCCCCTTCCTTTATTTTGAGAAAAATCATTCTTTTTTTTGAAAACATCGATGTTTCTACACTTCTTATGAACAACTGCTTTTCAAGTGGATGTGGCTCTGTGGGAACACGAGTTTCACATATGTAAAAAATTCCAACCGTTTCACACAGATGAACTCTATGGAGAAGACGCTATTAGATAAAATTTTGACTATTTACATATCGGTCCAACTAGTATTCTATCAAAACAAAATAAATCCAGGATTGCCTAATGGGTTTTACAATTTTGCTCATTACAGCTGGCGTAGAACCATATAGTCTGAACAAAAAAAAGCTAAATAGCCGACAACTGTGGTGTAATAAGCCCACACTTATGATATATAGCCGCTTCCCACTAAGGTCCATACACATCCTATTAAACAGATGGTTCTTAGGTCCATGCCGTCCCCAAATTTCTAAGTAATGCGCTCTTTCCACAAAGGCCATTTATTGAAAACATTGGCCGCGTTCAGCAGATGATGCAAGAATTTTGCATCAGTGAGCGTAAAAATAGTACGTAAAAATACATGATACATGGCTTCTGGCATGTATCGATAGTCGAAATTTCGAATCTAATTAACATAATAATGTAAAAAAAAACCATAAATTCAGTGGAATTATTTATAATTGTACAGCCATTTTTGATTTTTATGTATCCACGATAGCTGTGAGCAGTGCTTCAGTTGCGGGGACAGGAAAAATATTTTATTTTAAATTGCGCGTGCACTGATTGATATATTTTTTACTTTTACATCATCGAAATGTATCATGAGCGTACAACAGGACACACTTGATCACTGATCCATCAGTGCTCATCACAACATAAACCAAGGGGTTTTTTATAGTGTTATACTGTTTAACAATATCGAATAAGAAGTATGCATATAGTCAAAGAATCAAATGCGAGAAAGCTGATATAAATTCTTTACAGGGTCCAAACGGTTAAAAGTTGTTGAAATTTTCTTGCAATAGTTCCCAATCATGTTTCCTCCCGTTGGGAAGGGGATCAGATCTTTTTGCGTTGCAATTGAAAAAGAATCGCTGTTGTAATTTGAAGTAGGAGGTAAAGGTCCGTCATCCAAATTTGACGAAATTTGTTTTGCGATCGTCAGGCGATGGTTTTTTGATGCAACTGTACAAATTTGAATATTCACTCTAGAAACGTTCATAAACCAATTGGTTGTATAAAAGTTGTATTTTGTTTCATTTGTTAATGGCTAATTTTTAATTTCTTTCAGTTTGTTGTTATCAGAAAATCACTTGCGAAGACGTTGTTATGTTAGTTACAAAAATAACGGGATAATAACAGTTTCGCCAGATGAAATTCCCCTTATTTATGTTTTAATGTGCAACTGCTGTTCAGATCACGACATCGGACATGGACATCGGAGTTTCACGACTGTCTAAGATCGCAACTGATTCTTACTGATGTGCTCTGGGTGAAAGCCGATTTTAACTTTAAAAAATTCTTAACAGAACAGTAAATGTTTAACAAAATATTAAAAAAAATTTTGCTAGAAATTTAAAAAGGAAAAAATTAATAAGGGGATTCCCTAAACTGTTGAATTGCTGAATTGTTGAATTTTGGTCAGCTGTTAATCAGCTGCTCCATACAAAGTCAACTTTCAGAAATTTCAGCAATTCAACAGCCTCGAGGCTGTTGAAAATTTTGTTGAATTGCTGAAAAGCCAGAGTTGTCACCTTTTTTTAAAAGTCGTGGCAACCCTGTAACATTTTAGTATCACCAGTACGCATTATTTATTTTAAAATCAACTTAGAAAGCATATTTGTGGTTCTTTTTACCTTGGTAACACTTTTAGACAGTAACTAGCAATAATAAATCAATTTTTACATGCTTTAAGTTCCGTGAAACTTTTCAACAAATAACAGCTGTTTGAAAATTCAACAGGAACCATTTTGAGTCGTTCCCTTAATTGCTGAAATTTTTTGTTGAATTTTCAACAATTCAGCAATTCAACAGTTTAGGGAATCCCCCTATCAATGATAAAGGCTAAACATAGACGCTTCCAAAATTTATTAAAACATCGATTCATCGATGTTTCCACCTCTAATTTGGTGAAATATATCGAATCATCGAAGATATCAACTCTAGGGACCTCCATTTCCTTTTCAAGACGCTGTCGATTAAAAAAGTTAAGCTAAGATAATGGAAACCGCAAATATCACAAGTTTTCCTCAGGAAATTCTAGACCTTCTATTTGAATCTCTGGATTATCAAGATCGACTGAGTTTGGCCCAAAGCAATCATTACATCGGCGAATCATTTGCCAGCTTTTGTAAGCGGGAGCTGAAAGATCTGGAGCTTACTGAATGCAAAACTGAAAATGATTATCTTTCTCGTGTGTTACCCATTTGCGGCTCCGCTGTTATGAGTATAACTGCCGAAGATGGTAGCTACCCAATGCTACAAATTCTTGAGCGCTACTGTACCAATGTGAAATCAGTTGTCCTGAAAGCAAGATCTTTATGGCCGTTTTACTTCATACCCAACATGAAGAGTCTGACGTCGGTGCAGTTGTGGATGAGGCGGGATGAGGATGATTTTTTATACCCCGCCCTGCAGGAACTTCCTCACCTAACTAATTTACATCTTCTTGATTTTTCCGAGAAAAACGGTATGTTTAACTTGTCTTGAAACATATGTATGTGCTTAGAAATTCTAATAAACTTGTTCGATTACACTAGTTCACAAAGTTCAGCGTTTGGTTAATCTGGAGAGGCTGAGTCTTGAAAGAGGAAGAAAAGAGTGTCCAGTCGATATCATGCAAATATGCCATTTTCTAAAAAAACTTGATTATCTGTTCATTGAGTGTGACGAAATATTTTGCGGGACTTATTCTCAAGGATCAACATGTTCGGCTCTTGAAGAATTTGAATTGATTGTCAAGAAGGTCACAGATCTACCATTTTTCCCAAATCTGCGAAAAGTATTTGTTTTATCCGACAAAAGCTTCAACTGGATTAAGTGGATCACGAAATACACGGAAAAACTCGAGTCATTATACATCAGTAACATTACTGATAATATTGGCCTCCTCGATATGCTTGAAAGCTGCAAAGTTTTGCATTATTTAGCAATATTTATAGAATCTACTAAACTTTCCAATGAATATTTGACCTACCTTGTTGATGTCGCGCGTCGTAAAGTGGGTTCTTTATCTTTGGAAGTGAAAACCAAAGAGGAAGTGGATAATTTAAAAAAACGGGTAAGTAAAACAAAATGCTCTTCTTTTTATTATATTTAAACCATTTTATTCCCAGTTGGCAGATATCCCGAATTCTGCTATATGCAAAGTATATAAACATAGTGTTTAATACGCAAATTCGGGTAATTTATTTGTCAGTTAATGCGAAACATAAAATTCTAAAACTATTCTATTGGCAGTTAAAAGGTTGCCTAATAAACATTTGTTTTGAAAATATAAAAAAATTCATGTTTGTTAAATCGTATGTAAAAACAAAAAATATTGTACTTCTTATGAACATCGAAATGGCGTTAATGCCATTTTTGAAAATTATTTTAAAAGAATCAAAATAAAAAAAAATAAAAAATAAGCAGTCTTATTTCAACAAAGCTCACACTTTTTATTGCTCATTTGGGCTTTACCAAAGTGCCATATGCTGGAACAATTCGCAACTCATCGGCGACCTTTCATGGTCGGACAACACACCCAGATACTCCCACAGGCGGATATAAAAATCCGCCGATTTGTCATTCATCAATCATGACCCGAAGAAGGCAGTTCGAGCTTTTTGCATAACTCAGATGAATGTAAACAAATTGCGAGACTGGCGAAAAGCAAAAGTGAAGCGGGTTGAACGACAGACATTGGCATAGATTTTGAACCGAGTTCGGGGAACAGCCCACGATTTTTGGATGATATTTTGTTTTGCTTTCGTATGACCGCCAAATCTGTCCCAATATTAGCCCATGGATGCTGGGTTACTTCAGAGGCTATAAAGAGCGGGAATTGTTATTACCAACAGCTAGTTGGGAGGGGAAAAGAAAGCCGCTTTGGGGGGGCGGAGGTTAGCGACTAGAGCAGAAAATTACTCAACTCGAGTCAGTTTCGGTTTCGGTTTCTGTTTCAGTTGGCTTCAGTTTGGGCTTGTTAGCTGCTTAGCTGCTTGGCCTGCTCTCTGGGGCCCCAACTTTCACTCAGGCTGACAATTTGCTGGTCTCCCCGTCTGTTGGCCCATTATAATTAAGCCATTTGACTAGCCAACTGCCTCGTTGGACAATCATTTCTCACTCGAAAAGTGTAACAAATGCGGCATTTAATCGCCGCAATACAGATGTAATTGTAATTGATAAATTCGTGTGTAACCGAGTTGAATGATCCGCTAAGAGATTTAAAAAATCTGATTAGTGCAATAGTCTTAGTTCGTTGACAATGTATAGAGCCCCATAACAAGCTATGATACAATTTTATTGTTGCAACCTTAAAATGTAAAGGATTTCATTTTGATAATTTATGTGAAAAATATAAAATAGATACAAACTAAAATAATATATTTTTCATTTTATTTAATTATTTATTAATTATTATTATTATTATTATTATTTAATTTTTCAATTAAATAAATAATTGAAATAGAAATGGATTACCTAATGTTGTATGTTAGATTATATCTAATTACCAACAATTTGTATCTATTATTACATTTTTAAATATTTTAAATAAAGCACCGTGAACGCTAAGATCTCGGAGACTATAAAAGCTAGAAGGTTTGATTTCTCGTGAGGATTCTAGGGATTCTGAAGGTGACAGGAGATAGAAATGTTTGAAATTATACACAACTATAATTTTCTGTTTCTTTTTACAGGAATCTTTCTTAAAAAGGTTTCTATAAAATACTTATTTAAAAGTTTATATTTCGTTGTAAAAACCCAAACTTTAAACCATTGACCTTCAGAGAGGCGTGCTCTTCCAAGCGCGCTCTGGTAAAGCTAATCCACTTGGCCACGCCGAGTTGCTGGTGGTGCTCTCTCTGCCGGACTGAAGGCTTCGGCTTAATCTCCAGAGAAATGGCTTGATGGCTTTTCTGCGCCGGCGTCGCGTGTCAAACGATCGCCGAACTTAAAGCCGGAAAGACGTCGTCGTCGAATCGTCTGCGTTTTGCTCAACTTTTACACCGCTTACGTCTGCGGTTGCGTCGCTCGAGCTAAATAGTTAACCAGTTTCGATTCGAATTTCGCTTTCAGTTTCGTTCGAGACACGCGGAGAAAAAGAAGCAGCGGCGTTCACAAAAAGTGCAGTGAGTAAGTTGGGAAAAAACCCACGGCTGAAATCGAAACCGAAAGTGTGCAAATCAAAATCAAAAGCCGGTCCCCTGAAATAACTCTTCAAATGTAGCAATTCAAAAACCGAACAAAGCTAAACAATTGTGTTTAGAAACGCGCCCGGCCAATTTTCGAGTTCAGCCAGCCAGGAAGAGCGAAAAGAAAGTTGTGGAAAGAAGTGGATACATCAGTGAATTGCGCAAAAATGGCATTACAAAAATCGGCGGACGCAAGTGACTCATTGGGTGCACAGAAAAAATTGTGTAAACAATTTAATTTGAATATTCACAAACCATAATCAATTGTGATAATGTCGGTAGAAATAATTTTACTAATAGTGCAAATATTTTTAAAATTCCTTTTTATGACGATTTATAATTTCTTTTTGATATTTTTTTCGGTTCTCTTTAAATATAGTCTAAAACAAAATTTAATTATTAAAGGTGTACAATGCAAATAAATATAAATATTTAATTAATCAATAATTAATATCAATTAAACTAATATTAAAAAAAAACAGCGTAAAAAAATAAATACATATTTAATGCACCAAGTTACCTTGCTGAAATCTCACATTTTGATTATTTTCTGAGCAAATCCAGTAAGACTCAGATCGAACCTCAGCACGCCTTGGGCATTAAAGCTAATTGGTGGGCGGTCGATGAGGGGGCGTGTTGAGTGGATTATGTAATTTGACAAGCGGAGGATACTTCCCCAAAGAATTCACAACACGTACGCCATATCCGCATCCGTATCCGTGTTCGTCGTCTTTGCCCGCACAATTTGGAACGCATCTCGAGCGTAAAGTGTCCTTTCGTGTCGCCGCCTTCTCGTTCGGTGTCGGTGTCGGTGTCCTTCCCCCCGCTTGGCCACCCCCTCAATGTGCATTTTGTGATCCTTGCACCTGCTGCAGCCACACTCCCCCTGCCGCACCCCCTGAAATTAGCTGCCATTTCTTGTTGTAAACTTCCATTGCCGTCTGCTGTCTTTCGTTTTAGTGCAGCGCCCTCTGGCGCCAGCCACCGGCAAATGCAGTTTTCTGGTACTTCCCCTAGAAATCCCCCCTGTATCTTTTGCCCCTGCGGATGGGATCATAAAATTTTTGGCTGCAATTACAGCTGGAGAAGTCTGTTGCCCGTCTCCGTTCGCAATTGCAAGGAATTTAAATTTTATATTCAACAAGACATTTGGCATAGGAGTTGTTTTTATATTGCCCAAGCACAAACATAAATAATATATTTTTAACTCTGCCCAGATGCTGCAGACCAAGTGAGACTTTAACCAGAAAATTTTGAAATTTTCTGTGCGTCATCTTTAAAAAGTGTTTCACATTTTTTCCACACACACAATGTCTCGAACAACAACCTTGACTCCATTTAAATGCAAATGCAAATCGAAGAGCGCTAAATGACGCACTAAAAAAGGCGACAAACTGTGCATATTTTACGGTGAAATTTATGGTTTGCAGAAGGCGAAAAGAGTTAAAAAAGTTAAGATCCCAATGAATGAACTGTGTGTGTGCTAAAAAACCATAGAAATCAATCTGAGAAATTTGATGGAGCGAAGAAAAGATTGGCTTAAGAACATAAAACACACTTTCACTGCTTCATAAAATATGATCATTAAAAAGATCAATAGAAAAGATGAGAATAACTTTATTGAAACCTCAGTGAAATTATTTAAAATTTATGATTTTTTTAACTGAGTGTTCAAAATTTCTCTTGTTTTAGTTGACCAACATGAAATAACCTTTACCCATGAGTTTGATAAATATAACAACTCAAATAAAACCGAAAACAAAGAACAAGTTAGAACTCAGATATATGCACTCTAGACACTTGTCCTAATAGAACCCGAGCATAAAAAGAACCAAATCGTTCTGGGCACTAAACTTTTAAGGCCTGTCAGCGTCCCGCCAAATAAAACTTGACAATAATCCGAATAATTTTGCCTGGTTCGCCGCGACTGAAGATGATGGGATCCGATTATTTCTGGCAGTCGTGCGGTTGCATAAACACGGCGCAATCATAAAAAACGGAATTAAACAAATGTCGTCGGCAGGGAAAACTCCTTTGCCGGATAGCACGTGAGAATTGCATTAATATGAATGCAAATGCGCATCCCCCGAGTGCAATGGGTGGTAAATCTATAAATTTATGTGCAAATGTAGCAAGAAAATGTCGAGCACAAGTCGTCGGAAATTGCGCGAAATTCTTTTGTAGTTTGAGTTTGACAGCAAGTTTTTATGATGTTTTCCACCATTCCATTTTCCTCACTTTAGGCGACGTGCGAAGACAGTTTGGCTTGAGCTTATGAATCGCTGACGTGAACTGAGCAGCGGGATTTTCCACATTTTCCACCCACCCACCGCCACCTCCACAGCCAAAATGCAATTGCTATGGGAGCCGCGAAGTGTGCAATGGAAAATTGCAATTCTAATTATCGCATTAGTCCTCGACGTGTCGTGCATAAGAAATGGCAACGGGTGAGTTGATTGAGCTCCTTGAATTATGCAAATTTCCCTGAGCCTTGTTGCAAACTAAAGTAATTATTTAACTTAAAAGTACAAAATTATTGGCTCCATAAAAATTTCAAAATATTTTAAAGTTGAATCTTATAATTTTAAAATTTCAAAATCAATCTCAATTTAAATTAAAGCAAAATTCTGAAATTATTCTTAATCAGTGATTAATAATCACAAATTTTTTAACATACATTCCCTAAGTACATTTACATATTTTTTTTAAATTTTTTTGGAGTCATTATAAGTCACATTTAATTGGATAAACATTTTTTACAAAAAACCAAAATTAGGTTAAGCTTAAATCTAATTTTGATTTTTTTGAAATGAAATGATATACATTCAAATGAAGCTTAAAATTGAATTCACCTAAAATCCGATGTATTGTCATTATATTAGTGTAACATTTTTTATTAATTTATTTCAGTGATGACCAGCAGATATCCGTGAAGCTGAAAAACTTCTTTCCCTCGGAGCAGATTCCAGAGGGTCAGAATGCACCAGAAACTTCAGCCCGAGTGACTACGGGCGGAGGCTTTAGACCCTCTCAAATGCTGGACTTCACGCCCTCGGATGTGATGCCCCAGGCTGGCCTTAATCGCTATCCCCCCAGTTACTTGGAGCCGAACTATAAGCACGAAGTGCCCAACTCTCTGGGACAGCAGGCGGCTTCGGACAAGCAGTTCTCCTTCCCCCAGGAATCGCATTCGGTTTTCCAGAGCACACCACTGCCCACAACGCCGGTAGTTAGCTACCTAGATCCGTATACGCAGCAGAACTATCGGTATACACCCACTCCTCCTTCCATCATTCAATATCAACGAGAGCAGCCGGCTCAGGACGATCAGATTTACACCGTACAGTCATCGTTGCTGGTGGGAAGCCACCAGCAAAACCATCAGCAGCAGCGTCCCGGCCTCGTGGAGGATGTGTATCTGAAGCGACCCGGCTACGTCTTCGATGAAAGCCCCTCCCCCTCATATCGACGACCCACCAGGCCACCGCCTGCGCTCCCTGCACCACCCACAACCGCCGCGCACAAAATCTCCTATGATAGCCATGATTACCCACCGCCCAGCTATGCGGCCGAGCAGACTTCCAATTTTGTGCCCCAGCAGCCAAAGCAGCGACCACTGTACCAGCGCCAAGACATCAATGCCAATCGAGGGGGAGGAAGTGGAGCAGTAGGAGCAGGAGGAGCGCCATCTCCAGGCTCGTCTAATTATGCAAACAACTTTGATAATTATTCGCAGCGGCCGAACCCACAGCAAACTCAGATACAGAATCCCAACCAGGTACACAAAGAACAAACACAATTGTAAACTACAAAAATTTACTAGATGTTGATTGAATATTTTTTTAAGTATAATTAAAATGTATATTTTTAATATATTTTTCAAGGTTGTTTTTAAATTTTTGCATGTTTTATATAAGCCATTAGTAATCACAATTAAATTATTTTAAAATTACTAAGATAATAAACAAGGACAAATAAGATTGTAAACTACAAAAATTTACTAGATGTTGATTAAAAATTTGTTTGTATTTTATTAATATTCATATTTTAAATATATTTTCAAGGTCGTTTTTGAATTTTTTTCATTTTCTATATAACCCATAAATAATCACAATTAAGTTATTTCAAATTTCCTAAGAAAAATACAAATTAGGTCGTTTGTAGAATATATATTATACATATCTAGAGATATCTCTAAACAATTATATGTATTCCTACGAGTTGACAATATATTCACATCATTTTGTTTTGTGCAGATTCAGCCGCAGTTTGCGAACTATCAATACAACCCCCAGAATGGAGGACGACCTGGAGGTCTGGTAGGAGGAGCAGGAGCTTCAGGATCTGGACTACCCCAGCGACCCAGACCGGGACATAATTACTACGAGTACCAAATTGGCGAGATACCGCCACCGCAGTCCATGCACTTCCAGCAGCCGCAGCAGCAGTTCAACTATCGTCCTGCCACTCAGTCATCGGGTGGTGGCTCCGGCGGCGGAGTGGGCGGTGGTTTGGCCACCCTGGCCTCGCTGTATGCACCACAATTTACGAATCTCCTCCTGGGTGGCGGTGGCTCCCCCTCCGCTTCCTCGCAGTCGGCCAGCCCATTAGGCAGTCTCCTCGGCGCTTTCGCCGGCGCACAAGGAGCAGGACAACAAAGCGGGGGTCTGGGAGGAGCAAGACCACCCAACACACAACTCATTAGGGCACTGGAGAACATCGCTCGCAACGACGATTTGCAGTGCGTGCCCAAGGTGCTCTGCCAGATGATTGCCGGTCAAACGTTACGTGGCCAATTGCCCGGATTCGTTACCTCCCCGGCCATAACCAAGTGAGTATTCCACAGAGGGGAAAGGAAAAGGGCGAGGCAATCGGGAATCACTGGGAGAATTAACTAAAGATATTTAAATATTTAGAAAAACTTTTAGATTTTTAAATGTAAGAAGAAGTTATTTTTAGTTTTTCACATTTGTGAGGCCCTATCCAAGTATTTTTTACACATCCTCATTTAGATTAAAAAGTATTCTATAGAGATTTAAAACCTACATATAAAAAAATCTTACCTTGGCAACAATTAACAAATTAAATATTAAATGTATTTATTTCTTTCTTCTCTATTTCCAAACTTTAATTTGGAAAAATAAAAATAAAGTGTGTTTATTATTTCTTATTTTTTAAAATAAATTATTTTAAACTTTATATTATTTTAATATAATTATTTTTATAAGCAGTATTCTGAAAACTATTATATCTTTTATTCTCACTGTTGAGGCTTCGACTGGTCCCCATTTTGCAGGGGCTTTAGTTGTGAGTAAATATTATTAAATTTGCATTTTGAGGCAGATGGGGGCATCTTGTTTCTGTGGTGCAGCGTTAAATGGGATTAGACTTCATTACTGCCTTGCAGACCATATTGATTGTTCCATTAAATGAGCTACGTCGGGTGGGGGATTTTCTACGGGGAATGGGGAATGGGAAAAGGGGTTGCGATAGCACCCATTGTAAATTGAAATTGTTTTGGCTTTGCCAAATTCTTGGCTTCGAGTCAATTAAGTTTTATAAGCGGCCTAGAGAGAGGCTAGAAGGTAGATGGAGTTGCATTACTTGTGTAACTAGATGGGAAGCTTAAGGGGGTGGAAATCTCCTTGCAGTTCGAACGTTTCTAAGGGAGCTGTTTTCGTTAATTGGTCGCAGTTCCGGAAAATCCAGCTTTATTCTGAAAAATTAGGCAGTAATGCTGGCTACCAATATTAGTGGAAACATGCGGTACCAATTCATCTTACAACTTTATTTTATTATCTCAAAAAAATTTACCCAGTCTTCTAAGAGCTTCATATACAACCTACATACATTCTTGATTTCATTAAAAACTGTAATAAATTGAAAAGTATAGTTGTTATGTTTAGTTAATATTTAAAACAAAGAAATTGAAATTCTAATACAATTGCGATTTTTCCTATACAGTTTTCTAGCTGGATTTCCTGTGGCCTCGCCTGCCCTGATTTACGGAAGAGCTGCTCTTTTAGGGTTAAGTGGTGGAGAGCGAAGTTGCATCCAGACCTACGAGAAATGTCCAAAAAATGATGTAAGTAAAAGTAAATAAAAACCTTTAATGGCAGTACCAGTCAAAATAAATATAAATATTATTGATAAATGTTTTTATATACAGATGGAAATCATTCACTATTTGAACAACCATCGCGGCGGATTCTTCAAGTTCTTCAGTGAGCCGGAGGAGACGCCTGTGGCCGCTCAACAGGGAGATGGCGGCTCAGGATCCTTGCTTAGCATCCTATCAGCCTTGACAGGAGGCGGGGGTGGAGGCCAAAGCTATACCACTCCGCGTCCCGTACCCCGACCCACTCAAAAGCCCTCCACGGACATAGCCAGCGGAATCGGTAGTTTCTTCACCCAGGTGCTTTCCGAATATCTGAATGGAGTGGAGTACCAAAGGCGGAGGAGGAGAAGGAGTCTCAACCTGGGTGATGACTTCCATGACGAAGAGGACAACCTGGACACGCAAACGAGTCAGCTGGTGAAGTTTCAGGATGATGAGGAGGAGAAGGCGGCCAAGGCGCACACAGAACTCATAGGGGTACTACAGTTTCCCGAAGATGAAGGTGAAGGTCGGGTGATCAACTTCAAGGACATTCAAAGTGAGGAGCAACACGAAGAAGGAGCTGTCCGTTTTCCCGATGCCACACCAGCGGATGTTATCCGGGAATTTAATCGCGACGCCGCCCAACGAAAGCTGAGATTTCCGCAGGATCAAGATGAACCATCTGCTAATGTGAGAAAGGCCAAGGATTTATCCTTCATGGATGGCTGGAAAGTTGTCCTGCCAAATGGCCTTTCGCAATCTGATTTGGGCGAGGAAAAGCGCAGAGGAAAAAGGATTGTGTTTAGGGATACCAACGAGCAGCTGGATGACCAGAGGTTTCAAGAGGAGAGGATCAGGGAAGAGGAGGAATTCAGAGAAGCTGAATTGAGAGAAGAAAGAATCTTAGAGGAAAGAATCAGGGAAGCAGAAATTAGACAGCAGCAACTCCGGGAAGAACAACTGAGAATTGAGGAAATCCGGGAAGAACGAATTCGGGAAGAGCAGCTGCGAGAAGATCGCATCCGGGAGGAACAGCTCCAGATTCAGCGCATCCGAGAGGCGCAAGATATCAAACCGTCCTTCAAGGATGACACTTCTCCACCAAATGCAGTTTACGAGGATGCAGCTCCCCCGCAACGAGGTGCTCGTGTTATTTTTCCCGATCACTATGAACAGCACATTCGCAAGGGCAAGATCCTAAATCGACCAACTTATGCGCCCACCTACGAATACAATGAGGTGGGGGAGGCCAAGGAGGATCGACTGGTGGTGAGCGATGAGCATAGGCCCCACAACCACTACCGATTGGAGGGTGGGTTCAACTCCCTTAATTACGGCGAATATATGCCGGGCAACACGGTTCGCTTTGAGAATCCCACAAATGATAGGCCCCATTACAACTACCCAAATGCAAACTACATCAGCGACAATCGTTATGGAAGCAGTCAAAATCAAAAGCCCCATTACGAGGATGACAAAAACATATATGTTACCAACTCGCAGGGCGTCAACGAGTACTATATTCGTCCTGATGGCAGTAAGGTGTATCTTAAAACAGGTTAGGTTTTGTTCAATTTGTAGGGATGCTCAAGAATATTACAACATTTTTTGGAATTGTAAATAGTAATAAGCAAAATCGAATATGTCTTATCTTAATGTCATCCTTCAAGAGTAGAAAACTTAATAGTTTAAGTTTGAAATATGTATTTAAAGTAATTTATAATTTATGTTAGACTTAAGTTAATAGAATGATTTAATTCCATTCCTATGATGTTGTAGCTTTCTTCCTTTGCGTTTATACAAATTGATTGACCTAATGGGTAAGCTATAAAGACCCGCACAGAGGCAGGCCAACACTTAGTCACATAAGTATGTACATATTTAACGCTTTAAACAAATATTTATAAATAAAACACAATTCAATCAACCGAAAGTATGCAAAAAGATCAACTTTCTTCATCTGGTGCTATTGTTTCAACAAGTGAAACGCGCTGCCAGTGGAATTGCCGCATAAATCTAGCGGCAAACGACCTCATCCAGGGAATACGTTTGAAAAATTAAATGTGATAAACCCGGACAATAATGGAAATGCAAAAATAAGAAATGAAAATACAACCGAAGTTTTTAACTTGAATTCGAAATACCCTATGTTTTGGTTACTTGACTCGAAATACAGGCAATCAGATTTTAAAAAGTTACAAAATAAATTGTTAAAGAATGATCTATATTATTATGTTTTATATTATATTAATAAATAATATATGATATTCTAGCTAGGTACAGTTCAATCTAGTCTAGGTATGGTCTATTGTCTTTAGGAATAAACATTTCTTTTTCTGGATTAAATTTAAATAGTACGAAAAAGAATTGGGGAGCAATGCTGGTCGAATCCCACGGCAGCAAACAGAATTTCATTTTCTTTTTTCCCGCCAGTGTTTTCCCAAATGGTCGAACGTTTGTCAGCAGGAAAATCACACAGAAATTCAAAAGTGCACAAAAAGTGCAGCATACTTTTGTGCGGCCCAGGCGACCAGGGTTGTCATGGCTGCCACTGAAAAGGCAAAGCTCACAGCGACATTTGTTGCTGCAGTCGCTGTCGTCTCATTTTATTTACAGCACTCTGGACGACGTTTGTATGCAAACCATATGCAACGAGTTAATAAATGGGAAACACAGACTTGGGGTTTCAAAGTTGGTGTTTGGGCAAGGAGACTGAGACCCCGACATTTCGTATTGGTTTTTTCTTCTCAATGGAAAGGCGTAGGGGGTAGTAAGAACAAGGAATGTTAGAACCGGATAAAGGAAAGGACAATGCTGCTGGTTCATATTCGATCAACAAATGTTTGCAATAAGCAATACCCAAGTTTAATTTGTAAAAAGTTTATTTTTTTGTTTGTTTACTTAAAAACAATTTAGTTATTTCAATCTTTAAGTATGTAAGTGTAAGAATATTTAATTAATGAAAATAGATATATGTACCTATATTTATTTATAACTAAACAATCGATTCTTTTAACTACAAAGCTAAATGCTTTTTAGTTGATTAGATCCTTGTTCACTTTGTTATAAAATTATCTCACTCTAAAAACAATTTCAAACCAGGTTTCCAGCAACTATCAAGATAACCAAAAGGAAATTAAAGTCAATAAATAAATAGGTATGCCTTTAAGACCTTTCCCCATATGCCCACCTAAAAATTATACAGGATATTCGGGTACCCAACCCAAACCTTTTTGCATTTTAATACCTTGCGTCAACAAATTGCGAGTGGCGTTGCAGCCTGCCCAAATTTTTTGCTGCATGCTCTTATCAATTTTTTGCTTCCTTCCTCGGCGAGAAAATGGGGAACGGGAAATGCATTGTCCGAGCTGGAAAAGCAGAGGGAGTCCAGACATGTCCTGGCATAGGAACACACAAATTTGGGTTGATTTTTTCCAGCTGGTTTGTTTATTTATTTGCTTACTCATAAATCTAAGCGCCTACGTCTGTTGGCGGGCGTTCGTTTAAATTAAAACCCTTAAAAGCAACTAAAAGTACAAAAACATGATGGGGTGCACGGGGACAGCACATGGCTGCTGGATGCGAGTGCCGAAAGATGGATGATTAACAAAGATGTCCGATGTGACTGACTAAGGGGACTGCGTCCGGATGCGGATGCTCCTCCTCCTTTGGTAAGAAGTCCCCCGGGGGAGGTGGAACCGACCAGATCTTCATCGGGGCTGGGGCGGCGGCAGAGGTCCGGCTCCCGGACAGGGCATCCTTTTGGCCAGGTGCTTGCAGAGCGGCACATCCCGCACAGCATCGCCGATGAACAGGGATAGCAGGTACCATTGTTTCATCCCACTGACGCCCGACTGCACTTTGTAGTTCCTGTTTCGGTCGTCGTTGGACATCCATGTTGCACGTTGCAGGCGGGGAATCGGAAAGCGGATTACAGAAATAATGACTTGTAAGTAAGTGGGTAATATGCACACATAACAACAGAGGCTCCATCCCCGGGTTAAAAACAAAAAGCCATTTGCAACAGTAGCCGCAAAAGGAAGAGTTTTTCTTCACAATGCGAATGGTGTTTGTTCTGGAGTGGGTTTCTCTTGGGTTTTTTGTATCATGCTGATGTTTATAAGGGGTGATCAGCCAATACAATGCTAACAATTTGTTATTAAGCAAGGCAGAAAATGGTGATTTTATTACTAATATTAATACTAGGTTTACAGGAAATATTGTGGGTTTAATCTCAATTGATCATGTAGATTTTTGTTTAAGGCGCCCTATTAAAATATAAAAATCTAATACATACTAGAATGTATTTATTACTTCCTTCTTCATCCGTTCTATAGAGAATTCCATGCAAATTTAGCGTTCGTTAATACGAATTTTAATATTTGCTCCTTCAAAATAAAAATTATTAAAGCATAAAAGCCAAAATAAATAGCAATTTTAACCTTATTCACTTAAAGTTTAAACTAACTTATTTATTTATCCCACCTATTCTGTACAAATTGGACTGGACCCTGCTGATTACTTTGTGATAGCAGAACCCTTTGCTGCCCACCTACGGACCCATTGACAGTTGAAATTTCACACGTCTGCAGTGGCATAATTTAATCAACTCTGTAACAAACACATCTGCAGATGGCCTCCGGAAAAACTGAGTGGCAACAACAAGGAGACGGCGGAAAACTGACCAGAACCTGGAGAAAGGCCAGCTTTGGCATGCCATTCCCCACTGTGCACTTGCATAAATTTAATCAAAAACTTTAATCATATTTTATTATTACAAAACACGTCGAGTTGCAGAAAACTTCTTCTAATGCCAATTACATTTGCAGCGCAACGAAAACTAAACAAAGAGCAAAACCAAACGAAAACATCACAGCCAGACCCAAACTAAAACTCAGGTTAGGTCAGGGATGAAGGTGAGGGCTGCTCAGACAGACGAGCATTTCAAAAATAATTTTGAATATTTGCTCTTGACACGTTGGCCAAACAACTTTTGGCCATTTTAGGGGGCTGAGTGAAGGGTAAAAGGTAAGGGGTGAGCAGTTTTGCACATTAAGTGTGAAAGTGTCAGATGCATGAGGAAACCTTTTTGCGATATCACAAAATATTAAATAGAATAAATGTGGGAATGCCAAACAAGAAAATGTTACACATACGACACGTCTGCCGAAGGACCTTCCTAAGAAGCTTTTCTTTAAGCTGCCCTTTGTTTGTCCTGCCCGGTTTAAATGCCAGTCTTTCAAAATGGAAACTGGTGGCAACAATAAACATGTTTTACTACCGCTGACCAGCCAAGCTTCCTTTCTTTTATTGCACAAAAACGGCCATAAAAAAATCAAGGAAGATGCTGCTGAGACAAGCGCATTAATTATGAATCACAGCAGTTAGCAGGGGACCTTTGATGGGTGAGAAGAATAACTTAATGCCTTATAACATTACCATGACAATGGGGAGCTGCGAGGGCAACCAACTCATCAGGAACTGGCAAGCCAAACTAAATTTATGTAAACTTACAAATTGAAATCCAAAGGCAGAGCCAAAGTCGCAGTCGAAGTCGTGACATGCACTTTTAAACTTGGGGATCCCAAGGATACATTAAATTATGCACAGATGAGTTAGCAATGCCAATGACAATGGGCAAACGGAGAACTCCAGGATGAGACAGCGACAACAAGGAGATATAAAAATTGATTGGAAAACATTTTGCCTTGGCTAAAAACAAGCCATTCATTTGCCAAATGACAGCAGCAGCAGCGCCAAACTGCAAACGTGGCCATAAGAAATGCAATCGCAGAACAGAAATAGAACCAGAACAAACTGAAGTTCGAGTTGTTACTGCCCGTTTGAGTCGAGTGAGTTGCCATAAAGTCAGCCCTGCATGTCCTTGATCAGAAAATGGGGATGGCACTCGAAAGCGATGATGATATTTAGGAACCCAGTTCATTTTGTAGGGTATGGAATGGGAGGAACAATGATGAAAGGAAATGCTTTTGAAACTTAAGGAATTAAAGTTATTGCAATAGTTACGAATTAAAAAATAACTATTAAAAAGTCTTTCTTTAATATTAGATATTAGAGAATCCCAAATGTAAGGTTTTCATCCAGATAGCTTGTAATTTCATTGAAAACTTAAATTAATATAATGAGTTGCAATTAAAATGTCTACAAATGTAAAAATCTAACTCATGACATGTTTAATACTATTAAGTTTAAAAGTATTTAATAACAAAGTAATTGAGTGTATTTTATATTAAGTAATGCACCATAAATTGTGATTAGTGACCCAATAATAAGTTCACTCCCAACTTGCACCGCTAGGATACTAAACACTAAATATTATTGTTATTTGATTAACCATTAAACTTCCAAGTTAGCACACCCCAACCATATTTTTGACCTACCTCAAGACCTCAGACCAAACTGCATGTGGCTTTGCTCTTCCATCGCCGGGCAATCGGCGCTCACTGCTGCCCGAGTGGCGAGAGGCGTGGACGCGGCACGGCTCCTCCAGGATGCAGGCTTGGGGTCCGAACTCACCCAGGATCTGCTTCTGGGCCAGCTCAGCATCAAGGGCCAGCGGGTGGGCGGTATCCCTCCTGCTGCGAGATCTATATGTACCTAGGAATAAAATACAAATATTATTTAGTACTCTTTTCTAAAGAATGCCTCACATTGTACACTTACTTACAACTTTAGGTTATCTTAATCTATCTTCTAAGATGGGGTTACAAAAATACACACTACGATAAACCCGATTTAAAAGCCTAAAACTCAATTAGAAATAACACCAAAAATCCTGTAATTAATTCCTTTGAATTTAAAATACATTTTTAAGCGCCTAATTCCTTAAAGTTTTTTGAACTATTAAATATTCCACTTTGTATAATATTTTTCCCGCCTTACTTTCTTTCTTAGTGGAGCTTTAAAGTTGGCCAAAAAGTTCGGATAATTATTTTGATTTTGGGGTATTTCCCTGGTTACTCATGCCTAAAGCTTATCGGCTCGGCTGTCAACATCATCAAGCTTCCCTCTCTCTGATATTTGGTTTCCGGCTCCGTGGAGCAGTGGCACTTGTTATGGTTGACGCCACTGGCTCGCCGACAGCCTTGACCCCATTTTCGCATTTTGTCGGCTAAGTGGACGAGCACGATAGTTGGCCGCCGCTTTTGTCATCGCACTTGCAGATCAGGTTTTAACGGTCCAACGCAATGAGTAACAAGTCACAACAATCGGCAATAGACACACATTTACAAAATGGGTTGGTCAAAAAGCCTTAAGCCTTTATTTGCATTTTACACTTATAAATTCCGTAGGGTGCATAAATTATTTTTGGCTCTGGTGCACTATTACTTATTTGACTTGAAACGATAAAAACATTCTGTCTTCTGACATGAAAAAATTATGCTTTTTATAAATTTATTTTAAATTTCCGTTTACTTTTAGCATTTTTATCCGATATAAAATTGGAAAGGTTAAGCACAATTCTCTTAAACATTGCATATTTTTATTTTATCAGTTGATAAACAAATTGATAAATTCAATTCATTTATTTTCTGGTTAAACAACCTAAAAATTAACTGTGCTCTTAATGAATCGAGAATCTCTTTAAGGTAATTGGTTATAAAAAATACATTAAATATTGTGTAATCTAGCAACACTTAAATTTTATGGGTAATAAGACCTCATGTATTTCTTTGAATTTTCCTTTTTAAGTTAGTGAATATGCATAATTTAAACTCTAAAAGCTCACTTGAGCGGAAAAAATAAAACCTCGCCCAACGAAATCGGTGCCCAAAATTTGAATGGATAATTTTGGAAGTTTCCTCACCGAATTCCTGCACTGATTTTAACAATGCAAAACACTTAATTTATGCACAACATATTTTCAACTTTCACTCGATGGAGAGAAGAAATTAAAAGCCGATTGCGATTGCGGCCGGACTTACTGGGACTGAGGGAGTAGGCCAGCTTCTTGGCGAACTGGGAAAGTCGGACGGAGAGCACGATTACGGGGAATCCGACCAGCTGGACGGGGAGTTCGAACAGTGGGTCGGAACTCTGGGCCAGGCCCTCCTCCACGAACTCCAGCAGAAGTACCAGCAGCACGCAGAGCGTCGGCACCAGAGTTAGGGTGCAGATGTAGCGCAGATTCATGGCCGCCGAATGTTGGGTAATATATCTTAATACCACTGTATGTGCGATCCACGAACGGTTCGAGTTTTGGAGTGGAGTGGAGCGGCAGGCGACTTGGTGCGCTTAAAGTCTTGGACTGACTGAAGCGACCTGCGGACGCTTAAAGCCGCCAAAGCGCCGCATAAAAAATAAACCAAACGTTAACTTCAACGTGAACGTAAACAAAGAGAAGCGGAGACCGAGAGTCGCTGGCCGAACCTCAAGTGTAGGCCCCCAGAAATCACTTGTTGTGTAAAGCTTACACTCCCATGTGTGGGTTTTTCGGTCCAGGGACGTCAACGAAGAAATTTCTCGATTATTGCATTTGGCATATTAAAAAATAATTATATTTTCTGTGCTTCATATTTATTTTATTCTATCGGTATTTAGTTTTGGTTAAACAGTTTTTAAAATATGATTTTTTATAAGTTCCTTAATTTTTATGACTTCTAGATTTAGTTTAGATTCTTATAATTTTTTTTTTAGTAATATAACTTTAAACTTAATCAAAATCAAACACTACAACTCAATTCAGTTGATAATGTTTAATATCCGTATCTTAACCTTGAGATCCATATTGAATTTATTTTACGCTATACGGTTTTTGTTTTTCTTACATATTTTGTAACTCAAAATTAATTTAAACTTAAGCATAGGTACCAATATATGAATTTAATTTTCCTAAGCTAGTGATTTAGAAAAATTAGTTTTATCGGTATTACAAAAATATCTTTATTTAAATTCCCATCCCCTATTCGACGCCACTGCGTGTTTCGGGTTTTTTGCGGGCCAAGTTTGTTTTGCATTTTGACCAAGTTTCGTGCGGAAGCCGAAGACAAGACCAGTAAGTGAAAGTGAGGCCCACTAAGCGGAGGGCGCAGCCTAGGCTCTACGCTCGCTCTCTCGAGTCCCCAAAGCAGCCCGACTTTATAGCGTCGGCATCTCTTTCTCTCCGGCTTCTCTCGTCGTCTGTGCAATTATGAAAAGTTATGAAATCTTTCAAGCCAAATGTCTGGGCATTCGCACTTGGCTCGTCGGGGTTTCCTTTTTTGCTCTTTATTTCTGCGGTTTTATTTTGGTTTCGGCGTTTGACTTGCATATCAATTACCTCATTTCCGTTAGGTGTTACCGGGGTGCCCGATGGACGAAGTGCAAGATTTCCTATATGGGCGAGCAAGTGATTTGAGCAATTTGTTTCGCATCGATTTAGGCTTGGGTTGAGGGTTAAACGTCTAGAGTTTGTCAACTAGCAACAGGTAGAACTTTCAGAATAAATAATAAATGTTAACCTAAAATCTTATTAGTGATATATTGTTTAGTTTAATAAATTTAATAGATGTAGGTGCATTTTTCATAAAACTGGAGCTTAAATCTAGTGCTTTAGAACTCTAAGCAAATAAATAAATTTTCTAATCGTGTTTATAGTGCACAAAGATCCAGTTTAGAAAGCGATCGTAAGTCAACAGTCAAGATACTATGTGTCTTATATTTGGTGCTAATTTATAATTTATTAATGCATTTAAAACTTATTATTATTAAAACTCATTACTTGTTATTTGAATAAAAATGTTCTCACATCGAACTGTCAATATAAAATAGTATTCTATAAAATTTCATTTTTTTATTAATTAAAAATAAAGAAAATTAAGCAATCATTTATTGAACTAGTTCCCAAAAATGTTGGCATATCTAGCGCCGTTTAGCCAATAATGCCATTCAACATTTACTTTGTTGGCTCAGTTAATTAGCACCGTTGAAGTTAACTGAATGCTTATGCTCGTGTTTGCCAAATCAGTTATCAAACGAAGCAGTGGAGCACGTGTCTCTGGCCAAGTTAACTCTCAGAGGAGAGTGAAGTACGGAAATCAAGTGAATATCGAGGAAATCCACTTTAAATAACTGAGCAGATGCAATGAGACTGCACTAATAAGAATAATTTACCGAAGGTAATCGTCCATCCAAGAGTGGTTCAATCAGTCAGTTGGCCAAGTCGCCGGGACCCGTTTGAAAACACCTCGACCAGATCACGTAGCCACCTCCAGAGTTACGCAATCCACAGTGGAGACTCTCGAGTGGCGCTGAAATTGTAAACGCTCCAACTACCGCTACGGGAAATTCGCTTTTCTCCGGCCGCTGATTCAAAGTTTGTCTTACTTTTTATGCACATCAACGGAACACTTGATTTTCTCCTTGGTTATGATTTCTTCTTGATGTGCAGCAGGAAAGTAGGTTGGGAAAGGCAACGTGTAAAGTGGAAAAATTTCGTGCTTTTTTAGTTTTTCCCATATGGTTTTAATACTTACACCCTGCCAATGGGCATTTAAAATACCTTTATGCCAAGTAAATAAATGTTTATATTTGAAAATTCGCGAAATATATTTGGTTTTTGTTGGAAAACGCCGTTTTTATTCGTCTAACGGATGTCCACGGACAGTTGAGTGATTTTTATTGTTTAATATCTTAAATCCCAGTTGGCCACTTCAAAATAAAAACTACAAATAACTGTTTTTTTTGGTACCTGATTGTATCCTAACATTTTAAGGGGTCATATTTTAATCGATCGTTAATAACTAGATATCGGGTTATTTTAAACAAAATTTTAAACATTCGATTTAAAAACGGAACAAACAAAAAATTATATAAGTTTTTAGAATAAATATGATCTTACAAGAAAGTTGTTTTGCCTAAAATATAATGACTTAATTAAATTCTTGTTGTATTTTTCTCTCAATAATGGTAACTAGAGAACTAAAAATAAGTTTATTCTTGTATTTATAAAAAAATCGAAACTAAAAATTAATTTTTTGACAGCATGTTTAATTTTTAGAGTATTACGGACTCGTGGATGCGAAAGCTGTTGCCAAAACTTCGCTTTCATTTTCGGCGCGCCAAGTATGCGGAAATAATGAAGAGAAATAAAGAAACCAGCCGCTGACAGAAGTCTGAGACAATGCAATTGCACCTGCTGCACCTGTCCTCCCAATCCATTGCACCTCCGCCCCCGCCTCCCCGGATTGCATAAGCCAAACAACTTGTCAAACGTCGGGCCAAAAGCAGAAATTGAGCCGGGTTTAAGCCAAACACGAAATTTGGGCCATGCCAAACAATGAAAGCTGCGCACTGGAACACGCAACTAGCGTGGCAACAACAAAAATGCTGAAACAGTTAAACAAATCTGACCCAATTTCTGTTTGATATTACAAATATGTTGACTTTTATTGTTTTGTTTTGTTGCTTTGTGCAACTTCTGGCCAAATTTGTTGCCAAATCGAACGTGTTTGTAATTGGAATTTCAATTAGGACTCGATTTTCAATTCACATTTTCACCCCCATCATGGATTTGTTTTATTTATTGCCTCGTGTCAGTGACTGATTTATGCATTATTAAAAAATCTAAAAATAATTTCTTGTTTTTGTTTACTTTCTAGAGTTTTTTTAATTCAGCCATCAATATGTTTGTCATAATCCGACAATTTCACCCGAATGCCCATTCGTTTTTTTCTGGCAATTGTGATCGGAATAACCGATCGACCAGAGAAACAATTGTAAACAAAGCGAAATATATTCTAATTTTTTTTTGCACAATGTCATTGAGTTAATCGAATTTGCATATAAAGTGTGCACTAAAATGTTCGCTTTTGATTTTTGTTTATTTTCCGTTCAAGGTGTGTGGTATATATAGTTTTTGGACCGCGCCTGAAAGTATGCGCTCAATATACATACGTATTTTGACATAAATTTACCAATTTATTTGAAAAAGTTAAGACGGATTTAATTTGTAAATGTATGTATTCATAAAGGAAATAAAATTGTAATCCCCTAATCCCCCCCTCCTATGTTCAAACTTTAATATACTTACCTAGGCACATAAAGTAATCTTAAAAAACTTATAAATTAAAATGTTGCCACATTTTTTTGAACAATTAAATAAATTAGGCAGTACAATAAGTAAACAACGTTTTAAAGTTCACTTTTCTATTAATAAAGAAATATTAGGGTAATTTAAAAACATTTTGTTATTATAAAGCAACGTTATCTTGTATTAAATTATTGTAATATTGTGAATTATTACAGTATTACGGAAATCGCTTAGTTCTGAGTTTGTGAAGAATTTATATTAGTGCCCAGCGATTGTCATATTTATTTTCTCTGTCCTTGTTTTAAAATTATATTTTATTTTTGTTTTTATCTCCCAATATTCTTAGCCAATACTTACCTTCCGCTACCCAGATTAGATTCGCCCAATCGTGTATTTCCCAACAAACTCGGCATGCGATGGACAAATTTAAACCCAATTATACTAGACCAATTAAACTTCACCCAGGCAAACGAGAAATCGCCAAAGTCCGTTCGATTGCCACATTTAATGGCGGTGTCAACCTTCCATTGCAAAACAATTTCTAAAAATACAATTCCATTGCCAGCAAGTCGAACGCTTCCTAGCAATTACATACCCGTACGTTCATGAACTTGGTGTTTTTTCATCAAAGCCATTTCTCAAATCACCCGAAGGTGACATGACACAATCGAGATGGATTACGGCAGATCATTAGGGAGTTTGCACAAAAGAGTGTAATTTATTAACAATTACAGGAGCGTCGAACTTAGACTAGGCGTAATGCTAAATCGGGTCGTGACTAGTCACACTTATGTAATTACAATCAACCTAGGACTCGTAGCCAGATGGTGCGGATACGGATACGAGTGGTTACAGTTCTACAGTCACTTCAGTCATGTCGGGACTAAGGTCTAATCTAAACTTAGGGTAATTTACAGGGTACGGTAATCCAACGGTGAAGACATATGGTACAAAAGCTGAGGCGGCTATATCTAGATCTAATACTTAGGATACGGATCCGGGGGTTAGACCCTCACTTTGTAGCTGAGCTTCATCAGCTTCTTGGAGCTGATCGGGCAGTTGGGCCAGAGATTGGCGCATCCCATCGGTCCGCTGAGGTTGTCGCCCGTGTGGCGCATTAGTTCGCCCATGTGGGCCGCGAAATACCATTTGCTCGGCGGCATGTTCATCATCCAGGGCATCGTCGGAGATCTGCAAATAGTGGGCACATTAGACGGAAGTTTCTCCACAGCCGAGCACAACTGAACAAATGTTAAATATTATAATAAGCCATTATCATTTCACGCTTCGCCTGCCTTTTCGTTTGGAGTTTGTTCAAGTTTCGATTTCAGTAGTTTTTCGTATACCTAGATTCTAGAATGCCTCAGCCATTCACCTTGCCGCTGACTTATTCGACTCTATGTACTGGACGGGCTTTTACATCGGGCTCACCTTCGTCTCAAGTGCGAGGTTACAGCTGAAGTTGAGGTAGGTTACGACTTACGACTGCTGATCCATGGGATCAGTCGGGGCTCAAATATTTGCCGCATTTAGCTAATCTAAATGGCGCTTTTGTTTTCTCAAGTGCTGCACTTTGCACGCGAATGGTTAAACTCTGTGTGACTCACCTACAGTTTTATTAACTCTCGTGGTTAATAGAAATGGCATGGATTGCAATTGAACAAAACTGCACTCAAACCCTTTGAAACCTGTTCGGAGACTTTCGTAACTGCTGAGTATGCAAATGTTTGGTAGATCAATTCAGAACTGGTTCCACTTGCACTTTACGGACAAATATTCGTAAAAATCTATAGCAAATCAGTAAAATATACATATATAACAATAACACCAGCTGAAGTGTCTTAAAAAACAATATCACAGTTCACGAAAAGAGAACTGCAGTTCAACGGAATTTTAGAAATTTCAAAAAGGATTTGGACTCAATTTTATTTTCTATTTTTCTGTTTTATTATTTTTTACACTTGCCCCTTTTGAAATTTATAAGTAAAATACATTTAAAATATTTCCCTTGCGTAAAAGTAATTTTATTATTTCCCTTGGAATCCCAAAAAAGGGCTCTTGATCATGGTAAACATGAAACATTTTCAATTCTTAACAAGCTAGGTTTAATCATAAAATTAGTTGGTGCTATACGATGATTTGTGCAAGTCACTGCAAACCGGTTTCAAGAATTTGCTTAAAACATCCATAAATTTATGTATTTGCAATGTTTTCTGACAGTTATATTCAATTTTCCTATGCTAGCTAATTTATTTGGCTTTTTAAAACAGTTTATTAAGTTGAACTTTATGTAGTTCAACCTCATTAGTGAATATTTCTAATGCACTAGACAAAAGCAAAAGAAAATATGTATGTCTTGCCTAATACGTGTTCTGGACAAGATAATAAATGGTCGAGTTAATTATTATTTGTAGATTAAAATACTTATTTTATTCGAATTGTTCCTGAATTTTATTTAAAAATGTTTATATTAATCGAAAAATTCATAAATATTTTTCAAAATTGTTTGTAGGAATTTTTTTCCCTTGAGTTGGGATTTGTTTCTACTCCTTATAATATTTATATTGTGCTTTGTTTTTAGCTTAGTGTATTTGGTCACTTACCTGATCAGTCTCAGTAGTTCCCGCTCCTTTTCGCTGAGTTGGTACTCCGGCTTGGAGGCCAATTCGCAGAGCATCTTCGGAAGGCACGACTCCTTGATGGTGTCCGTCAACTGGGACTTGGTCTTCAGACTCGCCCCGGTAACCACCGCCATTCCCGGCTTCAGGGACTGAGCTGCCGCTGAGAACTCATTGAAATCGTGCTCTGAAACAAAACACAATTAAGTTAGGTATGCGGGCATATTAATCAAGGGGCTGGCCCCATTAGATTTTGACATTTGTTTTTTGGCTTTACTTGCTGGCGCTCATTTGCATAGCTAACTGCTTTCAAATTAAGATTTCGGGAACTGCGCAAATCGTTAAAAAATATATTGGGGGAGAAGCGAGTTCGGAGATCGGAGATCCCAACCCCAAGGTTGCCAAATCTAAGGCTAAAACAAAACAATGACTAATAGATGCTTAGAACAAATTGTCAACAAAAGGCAACAGTTTGTAAACAATTAAGCAAACATGCAGGCAGACAAATGTAGAAATTGAGAGTGTGGAAAGCGGATAAACAAAGCGAATTTCTGTTTATTTTTTTCGAGTGCATATATTTATGTATTTGCGGTGAGTAAGTCAAATATTTATTTGGCTATATGCGGTCGGATCAGCTGTTGCGAATTTATATCCAACACTTTTTCAACGACTCCGTGCCCCGAACAAGGCCAAGTCGATGCGTTGAACTTTACTTTGAATATTTGTTCAGTCATTCAACGCTCAGTTTTATTAATTATGGTCTCCAGCCGAATATTCATTATGCTATCGCCAACTAAGGCAGCTGGTTTTGTCGGATCTTTAACTTCGAATGCGGAACCGATGCAAAACCCTATCGCGGTGTGAAAATCCAAACTTTAATCTATTCGTTACTGATAACAAGTATTTTAATTTATGCCCCTTGTCATTTCACTAATTTGACTACGAAGAAATGCAGTCAAGCATGACTCAGCTATATTTAATGATAGATTTTTAGAAATATATATAGGTTACTAAATAAATATTTTGTACTGCTTGTTTGGGTATTTTCGATTCTGTATAACTTGTTTCTAACCAAAGTCATTTTAAAAACACAATCCACCAATACATTTTTATATAAAATTATTATTCTTTGGAAGGAACTCACATATTATTATAAACTTTAAGTGGTTCATTAGAAATACTATTTCTTCAAATCTAGTTTAGAGCTATCGGTAGTTCTGGTGTAGTTTTTGAATATTATAATTGAAAATAATTACTTTGAATAAAACATTAAGATTTCCAGAATATTTAAATGCAAGGTGGGTTTGCAACGTATTATTATTTAAAAATTTGGATTTTTTAATTCCGAAATACATTGTGCTTGACTGCTTTAAAACAGGGTAGAAAACAGTTCATTGTGCGACCCCACGAACTAGAGTCAATTAAGGTGGCTCCTTCTGTGGAATCAATTTGCTTTTCAAGTGCACGTAATTGAATGGAAATAAATGCAAATGGATGTGCAAGCTCGGCATGTTTATCACGCACTGCATTCATCAGCTAAAGGTTGCGGCAAAGTGATTCTTTATTTTGTATCTTTTTTATTCTGTTTTGTTTTTTTGGCCAAGAGAGAAAGACGTGGAGAGAAACCGAAATTGTCAATTCAGATAATTTCCACCGGCTATGGGGAAGATTGGGAAGAGCACGTGATATATCTCTATGGAAGTGAATGGCATTTACAAGCGATTAACGTGAATATTCAAACACCTAGATTATGAACTCCACTCTCGATTTCCGTTGAACTCGTTTCTAGCACAGACAACTTCTTCAGTTGGAACGGATTACGTCTGGAATCGGAACCGGTTATGGTCCAACATATGGCTGAATATTTCCCAAACCCAAGCTTAGTTCGATAAATTAAATGTCACAAATCAAGTCAAGTTTTCATCACTTCCTGTTCGAGTGAGCAACTAGAATAATGAACTTTGAGTTTAAATAGTGACAGCGGATTTGTCTAGACGCCGCTTACGAAACTGGAATATTGAGCGAAAACCCCTATTTACCGAAACTTTTATACTTGGCCCACGCTAATGAACTGCTGCTCCCTGGGAAAGTTGCGATGCAATTTAAGACCCTCTCTCAACATGCAAAACTTGTTGTTCGCTTCGAGTTTTATTACGTCAAGTTTATTTGCTTGGCATTTTTCCACTTTCACCTCGAGAAATACAAAAGAAATACCAACTTTCAATGACTTCGAAATGGTTTAGCCATCTTAATGAACTGTGAAATGGTCTGGGGAATATTTTGGTCTTTCTTGATATAGGGACTTCAGGGGATTTTATATTCTAAGTTAGATGAATGCAGAAGAACTATCTTAAACTCCGATTTTAAATTTTTTTTTATATGTGACGTTTAAAATAATTTGAGGAGTTATTTTTAATTAATCTTTTAAAATTAGTCCAGGTTGAATAAAAAACTGTTAAATTGTAAAGAACACTTTATTACTATTCTTTTTTTCGATAGACCATGCTGAAAAAGGGGCCATAAATGATAAGAAAATAACCAGTTTATTGATTTTGTTCGATATTTTCAGTAAAACTTCTAAATTAAGGTCGAAATTTAGTTAGCCAAGAATAGGTAAACTTAGACATTGGGTTGGAAGACCAATAGGTGTTTTAATTCACCGGGACTGATGTATTTTAATGCTACCCTGCATATTCCATTTCCTGGTCAATTTAAATAAAGTTAAAACCCCTGTTGCACTGAACTCTCGACTTTCCTTTGATTTTATTTAAGTTTTATTGTCTCTACACACACTCGTTCGAGTATCTTTTCCGGTTTCGTCACGACTTTTGTTGTGCAATGCCCGATTGTTATGTCATACGATAGGGTTCGATATTGTATATGCAAATCAACGAGAAAGTGGCGACGAAGAAGTGTATTCAAATTGCCTTTGAAAGCTCTCGAACGATCGGTTTGGACATGAACTTCGATTTTGTTGAATAATAATTTGGATGATTTACTGATTTTTATGCGAATATTTAGGTTTACACAGGAAATGCATTGCAGTGTGGAAGTACTGAAAGGCTACATAAAAGTTTCCAAAGAAGTTCTAACCTAATTTCATTAATTTAATTATTTTGCTACTTTGTAAATAATTTTTTTAAATTTATAATAAGTTTCTTATTGTTACGTAGTGTTTATGGAATATTTTAAAACCAGACATATTCATTGTTTTCGAAATCAGATACTTTCCATGAGTCTAGCAATTCAAATGAAGTACGAAGTCGAGTAATGAAGTCACTTTCCTCAAAAGCTGGGTCATAAAACATCTTAATGACTTTGTTGTAGTTAATGGAAACTTTTGGCGTCTGGTGGTTTTTGTTTAATATGCCAGACAACGTTAAGCTTTAAGGTAATTTTTGGGTACTTAAATTTCCGAGATATTTCCTATAGGAAAAGTTTTAGAAGCATTAAACCTAATATATTTTTTTGTTAATATAATAGTAATTCTCACCTAATCTACTCGTTATACCCGCATCATTAGCTCAAGCCCATCACAACAAATTGCTAAGCTTTAGCTTTTAAAACTCAATTAAAGAATATATTCTAAATGGAAGACAGATTTATCCAAGCACAAGTTTGTTGTATGACTATAACCTCTCGCACTTTTAATGTATTCTCCAAATCGTCCACATTTACTTTTTTTAGTTGAGCTACACGCAATAAACAATCGTACATTAGTCTCCCCGGGCTCAGTTCCGGTTTTCACCTACCGAGCCACCGACAAAAAACGTAATTAAACATTTAAGCCCGAAACGAAGCTTACACGTGCCTCCAGCACTTTATAAGTAAGCCTCCATTTATAAAACGAAATTAACCTTGATAAGACCAAATACAAACGCAAATTTATGGTATAACAAAAAACTTAAACAAAAATTCCCACAAAATATTTGCAGTAGGCCACCTAATGAGCGAACTGATTTCGAAAATGGTGTTAATAAAATTAAAATTTTAGCAAGCTCAAATTAATCGAATTATATAAAGTATAAGTATACAAATCCGTTCAAATCCGCAAATTAAGAATAATTTATTTATTTTATATAAGGGTTTAAAAACACATTAACAATATTTTAAAAATATTTAATTAATTAATAATATTAATAAAAAATAATGCAATGTTATTTTTAATTACATACCTACATTTCAATTATTATGCTCCCCTTACTGATAGCAATCCCAAAATTTGGCAATCATGCCAGACAAGCAAATCTTTTTGTCAATAAAAAATAGAAAAGTGGTTAAAAAAACAACAAGATGGAACGAAGAAAAAATCTAACCTTCAGTTTTAAGCAAAACACCAAATTTAAATTAACGGGTTCCCTAAATTGATAGCCTACTGTAAGTCCGAAACTCAAAATAAAAATCCCAAAATTTGGCAATGCATGACGCCAGACGAGTAAAACATTTTGTCAATGAAAAATGGCAAAATGGATAAAAATAAACGGAGAGTTGGGATGGATGATCAAACTAACCTTCGGTTATATCGATTTCGGCATTCTTCGACTGGAACTTGCTGGCCGCTGCAGCCGCCGGACCCGTTGGGGCACCACCCGCCCCCGCTCCGCCCCCCGATCTCACCGAGTGGGGATCGGGGTGGTTGGACTTCATGCCGCCGCCATATCCAAAGAGATCGCCCACCAAGAGCAGGGAGACGATGGCGAAGATCGTGAGGCGACAACGCCAGGCGGTGTCCATGATGGCCATAATCCAAAAATTGATAAATTCACACGCGTTTCACAACTTGATATTTTTCCAGATATTTTTTTTTTGAGTAAATGTGTTGGCTCTTTTTTGGTTAGTTAGCACCTGGGGTTTGACACTTTTTTCAATGGCAAGACGACGAGCGAGAAAAATGGAAAGTTAAGGGGGGAAAACGAAAGTAGTTTTTTACTCGCTTTTCGAAAACGTTTTCAAATTACTGCTGACGAACATGCAAAGAGCGGCAATTAAATTTGGCATTCAAGCGCACATAACTCGTTAGTAACTGTAAAGCCAAAATACAGATACAGGTAACACACGCGATAGCCACAGGTAGCAATAATAATATTCCAAAGAGCCAGCGATACGTCCGATTCGGCCAAAAGTTGCAGTGCCACTGAACTGAAGCGGGTCCAAGATATAACACTAAAGCTGGGCCCAGACGATCAGCTGTTTGGGAGAGGGAGCGAATAGAGTCGGAGAGCCGGATCAAGTAGATATATCAAACCAGGTACAGCTGTTCGTGAGAGGCTCTCCGAAATACTGCGAGAAATCTGGGTTTATCAGAGAGCGCTTCGTACCTGTTCGCTGTGTTTTAGCACCCACTGTACGCGATCGGTGGTGCTAATTGTCTGTGGCCACTGGCCAGTCGTAGCCACAACTGTCCATCACTCGGCTTAAAAAAAGGTTTGATTAAAGCCAGCACAAGTCACTTACTTACCCACGTACCATCGTAGTTATATATGTACTCAGTTCAACTGGGCGACTTACAGGTTCGATTACCCGGCCGGGCTAACGACCTCAGCGGGGAATTATGGCCAACTTAGTTTTGCAAGCTGTGGAATGAAATTCCTTGAGTAATTGGAGTGAAAAGAGGTCGAAAGATTTATGTGGCCCACCTGTGTGGTGCTATTAGTGATAGCATCGAAGTAAACTATATACCACATATATTTTAAAAGTATCTTTCAATAATGTTTGGATCATAAATTAATTAATAATTATAGAAGTGAATCATTCGTGTTTGGATTAAATATATTGCTTTTTGTGTAAAGTGTTTTTTTTACCAAATTAAACAATTTTGGTAACCATTTTTTTTATCCATCTCAAATTTTTACAGAACAGGATGTACAAAATGTGTGTAAAATAATTGGCAAAAAAACCGAGTCACCCCAAACATTTATGTATGTAGGTTTAAGGTTTTATGACTCGTTTATTCGTCAGGATCGTATAAAGTTATAAGTACAGTCAAACAAATTTTTATGTAGAATATATGAGTGTTTTAAAATTTTATGCCAGATCCCCTAGGATTGGCCCAAAACAGAAGCCAAATTCTCTACTAATGCACCACATAAGTCAGTCGCGTGCCTGTCACGTAGGCCACTTAGTGGCATGGTAAATATTTAAGCGACTTCCTCAGTTTTTATTTATTTACGATCCCCAGAACAGCTGCAAATTGAGCGGTTATCGAGCAGGTAGAAAGGTCATAGGATGATCGCAGACAGATTTATGATTGTGCTGACGCAGCCCACAGTGCAATGCTGTTAAAAAAATAAAAGCCCGTCTGACCCTGCCAAATGCCAGTAGATGGTGAAGCCAGGCAATTTGGCAATGTTGCAATGGCCAAAAAAAGGAGCCAACGAGTGGAGAGAGACTTTTTGGCCAAGAAACTTAACCAACCGGACGGCAAGTTGAACGCGATAAATGCGCAATCGGAACGTGACTTAGCCGTGGCCAACAATCACCCAAAAAAAACCTCGATAAAAACAACACCGAAACGTACTCAAATTAAAGGTAACAACAAGAACAGCGACAACTTTTTCCCCTGCTTAACTTGGCCAAATTGCAGTCAAGCGAAGTGCAACCGTCGAGAAGTCGAGGCAACTGCCACTGCTAACGGCAATCTTGAGGCTGACCAGCTAGCACTGACCAGCACTAACTGCCAAGTTGGAAGGAGAAGGGTGGCCACTGAATTTCAAATAATTCATAATTTATTAGGTAACTCAATTATAAATAAAAAAAAATAAGAAGTTATAATAATGATTTGGAAAAATTTTAGTAAATTCAATTCTTGTGGGAAACGTACTTTAATTAATTTAGTAAGCACGATTACAAAAATTAAAAATTGCAAGACTATAAAAAGTAAAAAAATTTGTTTTTTAACGAAGCGCTTTATTATCAGATCTTTGTTCTCGTTTTATTTCAAGTGCAGCACCAAGAAACGGAGTTAACAAGTTGAGGTTATACGTAAGGGTAATTGAGTGCTGTCTGTGCCACTGGAAACTCCGTTGAGAACAGCTGCAAAAGTATTCACTCCGCTCCGACTTCGTCTCCCAGAATTCATTTGTTTTGCTTGCCTTCAAATTGCAGTTGCCGCCGTCCTTCAGTTGCAACAACGCCCTGTCCAAAAAACAACACCATTAAAAAATGAGCATTGGTAGCAATCGGTATACTCTAAAAAATGTATGGAATTTATTAATTAAAATTTTAAATTAATTAATTCAGATTTCTTAAAAATTTTACAAAAATCTTAATAGTATAAGTAATTCTAGAAACTTATTTCCGAAGTAAATAAATTTTTTGCTTAATCTAGACAGTTATTGCCTTTACTTTGTTAAACGATTTAACCCATCAACCCTACTATCAAAAAGAGTATGTGGAAAGAAATATGTACGCAAGTACTAGTTTATACAAAACATTTTGCGCCTCGAAGGTTAAGCATCGAAAACCCAACAAAAACGCGATGTGGCAAAAGAGAAAAAAGACTTCATTACTGTCGGGGCAGCCAAGCATGAGGCTTAAAAAAGTAATTTAAAATTATTATTTTTACTTTATTAATGCCGCTAAAACCTTTGGGGCAGATGGGGCTGATTAAGTTTAAGGTTCCAGAAGGAAATGTAAAATGTTGGCACATCATTTTGATTGGGATAAAAGTGGTGGATTGAATATTAGAGGTTTTAATTAGGAGAAAAATTAAGTTAAGATTAGCCAGACTGCAGCTTTTTGGATTGCTAGTGGGGCAGTAAAACCAGTTATTAAAATTTTAATCTTGCCACTCTACAATATGTAGACAACTACAAAATTGCATAAATGCAACTTGAAACATCTACACATTTTTTTATGGTCTTCTGACATTTTGCCTAAGCTAATTTAATCTTTATTATTTCGTAAGAGTATGACCTTCCCGCTTTGGAAGTTAATCAAAAATATTCGCCTAAATTATTTAATTAAACAAAGCTTTATGAATTGAAGTTTATTGGGACAAGCTCTTAAATGAATTAGTGCAACATGTGAACTGGTTCTTTACCTTGGTCACAATTGAACTACAACAATAGCATTTTATTGAAAGCCAATCGAATTGATCTTATTTATTTTGTTATAGTTGCCACCCATTTAGTACATACAAAGGCAAAATGAGTTGGCAGTTTGTAATCATAAAGAAAAGTGAAGAATATTTTCGGTCAATTAGATAAAAAAGAACTTGATTACCAATTTGTAAGAAAAGTGTATTTTTAGAAATTATTTCTTTTATTTTTCATAAATAAATAAGTTTAGTGTATACAATTATCAATTCAGTTAAAAGTTATGCATATTTAGCGTTTTGGTTTTTTTTTGCGTTAAGTTAAGTTTCCCAAAACCGTTCAAATGAAGTTGTTGTTGTGAACCGGGAAAGCCAAAAAATTCGTAAAAAATCGGAACTTTGGATCGGGACTTTCCCACTTGCGGAGATTTTTAATCAAATGTATACTCATTGTTTCATCGAAGACGACCATTGGTTGTCGGTTAAGAAAATCTCCGTAATTAAGAGAAAGGACTCTTACAATTTTTCGTAGGTGTCCATTTTTTTTTTAATAAAGTTTTTTTTGTTTTTTATCTTAAGCTGATAAACCAATTTTTTCGGATTTAGATTGTTCTTATTTTTAGGTACATTTGGTTGGAAAAGACACCTATGCCGTCCAGAGTAATAGCAAAAAAGCTTAAAAGTAACAAATTTGATTTAAAACAAAATGTAAACTTTCGTATCTAACCGTGCTTTTCACCATAACTATTTTATTGTGTTTTAAGAGGCAGACTTGATCTAATTGAATCAACATTCGCTAATTAAAGACATTTAATTCCCCAAGCTTAATGAATCCTTATATTGGGTTGTCAATTAAATTAAGTTGAAGCAATAAATACGCGGGTAATGGCAACCGATTGAGAACTCAAACCCTTTAAAAGAGACAGAAACGGAAGCAGCAGGCGAGTCCTTGGTGGTGTTTGCAATTTTTACTTACTTAGGAAGGGCGGTCCCAGGCTAAAACCGCCTCAAACACCTCGTGAAAGTAAACCGAGACCGCAGAAGCAGGAGCAGGAGTAAAGGACACCGCCCGCGGCTTCCATTTACAGCCTGCTTAATTTATGCTAAACGCGTCGCGTCTTTGCATTTAATTGTGAAATTAAATTTGATGCGATTAATGTTGACACAACATGCGATTAGTGCACAAGTTCGGCACTGCGAAAATATATTTCCCTAATTTGTCAATTATATTAGAAAGTATTTTGTTTATTTTTTTAATCCATCATAATATTGGCAAATATTTTATAAAATAATTATTTTTACAAAGGCACCAAACAATAATACACAAAAAAACTATAGGGGAGAGTGGGGGAATTTCGTCACAGGGGCAATTTTGTCACCTGCAATATCTCGGAATCCATAAGTCGTAAAAATATATAATTTTTTTGTTTTAGTCCTTCAAGACGGCATGACACAACCAATGCGTTTTTTTGGCCTTCTGTGCAAAATTATTAGATAATTAAGCTATAATATTAAATGTGTTTTAATAGTTCAAAAGCTACATTTAGTTCTCGACGAAATTTTTTCTGTATGCCACAATTGAAAAGGGATAAGATACTGGTTTTTTTGTATAATATACAGTGCTATAATGTGCATTTCTGCGTTAGTGATTTTTAACTTCGCGCCTAATTTCGGGAGAAAAATAATTATTTCTAAAAAAGTACTGTCTGGGGAAATTTCGCCACCCTATGCTTAGGGTAAATTCGCACCTATTTTAGATACATCTTTTCTTATTTGACGAGCTGGCTAACGAACAGACTACCGGCAGCAGCAACAAATATAGGACGTCAACAAAAATGGTACGCTTGATCAGTGTAGCATACTTACAGGCGTAAACATCCCTACATTTTTCATGTGACGAAATTGCCCCGGTGGTGTGGCGATTTTACCCCCCAATGTGACGAGATTGCCCCAGTATATTGGTTTTACTTTTTAATTTTTTATAAATCACCAAGGTAATTAAAAAAATAGGGGAATGTCACATTTTAAAGCTTGGTGCTAACCGCATTCAACAATACAAATAGAAAAATGATAACGTGTGTCAAGATGGACAAAAAATAGCTTTGAAAAAATGCGGACGAAATTCCCCCACTCTCCCCTACTTAAATATTTTAATTTAAAAAAGATTATTTAATGCAATAAAAAATCGAAAGGTCTTAGCTAATCATTTCTAGTCTTTAAATTAAATTTAAAATTTATCCTTTAATGCTTTTATTTTGCAAAATCCAGAATAAACCGTATTCTGCCATAACTTCACCCGAAAAGATTTCTGAGTTTTAATAAATATTTATTGTAAATAAATATTTATTGTTTTTTCTTAAGTGTGTAAACCATAGTAAACCCGCGGTTTGCCCTTTGGGCTTGGCTCGGTTTGCTTTGACTAAGAGATGTAGATACTGGCAGATATCTATTAGCCAATCGCCTCGCATTTGGCAAATTATCATTGTTTATAATATGACAATATTCGATGGCAGCGACAGCGACACATACAAGCCTTACATAAACAATAATTAAATGTAGCCAAATTAAATTTTACACAAAAGCTGAACACAAAATGACAGCTGGGCGGTCCTTTCCACGGCCTCCTGACCCATCCGAGCCCAATCCCCTCCCCTCATCCACGACTTGGAAATGTCTGCATAATTATGTGGTACACGTGGGTGGGTGGAAATGCCTCAGTTGAGTGGTCGAGTGCATGTGTGAGTGTCGTGGCTGATAATATGCAGTTTAATTACAGAACACCAATGCCCACAAACAACAATAATGGAGGAAAGATCTGGATCGTAAGGATTTCACGAATTAATACTCTTACCACAGAAAGCTTAACAAAATATAGTAAAAAAATTTAATTTATTTTTTTAGGTAATCGTCCCCTAAAGAAAAGTAAATAGAAGAGGCAATATTGTAAAATTTTAAAAGTATTTAATATAATTCATTTGTCTGGGTTCAAAAGACTTGGTAAAAAGATAAAATAGGGAAACATTTTTATAGATAAGAAAGTAAAGTATTTAAAGTAGTAAGAATTGAATTTCATAGTTATATATTTATCTACTGTACCAGAAACAAGAAATAAGAAACCAAGGTAAAAAGAAAATAATAAATCCCACTTTTTAACCAAAGAACTAAAATACCCAAGCAAGGTAAAGAGTACTCAGCAGTATGGTCAACATTTTGCTGCATAAATTCAAATTAGTTTGAACCGCCCTATCCCCACTTCGACCCAGTCAAAATCTACCCGAGAAGCCTTTTCCTGCACCTCCCCCTATCAAAACCCCACCTCCTTTCGTGGCCACGCATCACTTTTAATTTTCCATGTGAGACAATGTTCTTGGTCCTGTCAGGTGCATAACTGTATTATATCCCCATATACCGGACAGGATATTCATACATACGTGTGCGCGTGTGGATCGCTGTTTATTGGCATCCATTAGATAAGGGAATTTACGCGAAAGCAATTGTTCGGCTTCGCCTAGACTTCAAAGGGTTATTGTCGTGCTTTGTCCAGTTAGTTCTGATTAGTGTCATAGGATGGAGTTTGGGATAATGGGAAGGCCTTAAATTGAATTTGAAGGAAAGAAGGCAGCTTATGGAAAAAAATTTAATTACTTTCTTTAACTGGGGTTTTTTTACAAATAATTTTTTAATTCTAAGTAATATTTCTATTGAAAGGCCAAAACCCTAATGTGTAGGACAACAAAAACTGATTTTTAATTTTATCTTTTCAATAAATCAGTTAAAATAAAAACAAGGGTTTAACAATTAAAGTTAGTCAATAAACGTTAATTAGTGAAAAGCAAATTGACCCCCTCATAATAAAAGAAAATTTGTGCACATGAATTTGAAACCTGAACTGACCAAAATAATTTTAATTAAACTCACTCTTGTGCCATTCATTTGTCGTTTTATTTTAATAAAAATGTCTGAAATGCCGGAAGTACGAGTCACTTTTACATACATATATACGAGTAGAAAAGTGAAGGATTAATTATTTTTGTATGAATTGTTGACCAGCAAATATTATTTTCCACCCAGTCCCATCCGTTTTAATTACAATTACTCTTGTTCTCTTATTGTATTTTTTGTCGGCTGATAACTTTTTTCGTGTTAATTAGTGTTCATGTGGAGCAGGGGAACTACCTTGGTTGTTGTACTTGTCACTATTTGAATGATAAAAAAAATATGAATTGAATGACAGTTGGTCGAGAGTAAAACCAACAACACAAACTCCTGAAGAGTGTATTAAATGGCAATCATAATAGAGTTTCTATAGCTGGAGTACAGTTTTAAATAAATGTTTGTTCTATGCGTAATAAATGAAAATAAAACAGATATTATATAATTGACAAATATGACACATTGTTTGTCCATTAACGTGGGAAGTTAAACAAAGGTATTTGCATAGTTTTATTTGTTTCTAACCGATGACTCAGGTAAATGTAAATGTGTTTTGATTTTATTCAAAGAATATTTACAGCATTTTCGTTAACGGTGTTTATTATGATGTTTTATTGGCAGAATCCCAATATTTTAATATAAGTGGGAGGTAAAGTAATTTTTTCCTGATCTATTATCATGGATTTGTGGATTCTAATTGGCAAATTGTTTTTGATTTTTAGCAATAACTGTCAATTTTTCAATTTTTTACGAGATAATGCATTTTAGGAAACAGAAATCACAATTTCTCTCCGCGTATGCCCGTAACTGGGTGGCCCCCGCCCAAAGATCCGTCAAGTTTTATGAGCTTTATGAAATTGGTATGCAATCGACAGAAGTACAATCGAAATTATAATTCAGCAAATAAAACAAAAAAGTAATAGGCGGACTTAAAGCATCGACGAAATTGAAGTGTATTTGTTTATGAATTTTTTGGCCTGACGAATCTTAAGTTTAGAGATGAAACGTAGTTAGACGTAACAAAAAGAACACTTACTTCTAAATAAAAAATTTGCATTTTTTCTATCTTTGTGACCAATAACATAGTTCTTATTTCCCTACCTTCACAGTTCCAATAGGCAAAGAACGATATTTACACTGAAAACTATACTGAAAACCCAAATTCTCTACAATTAATAAAAAGCTGCAGATGCGCTTCGGTAATACATAAGATAAATACTATCTATTTTACACATCTATTTATTTTTCCACCCTAGAGCATTGCGAATGCGACTTAGAAGTCGCAAATTCTTATTCATAATGTTTTGTTTACATCTCCGATGCCTGATGTTAAGTACTTAAATGCCTGGGGACGAGCAAAAAGAGTCACTTCAATTTCGCAGCCGCATCGATTTGAATACGCTTATAATATACATATTGGGGTGTACGAATTTCGTATGAATAAATAAGCGCAGTGTTAATACCGCTGTCGACCCGACAGTTGCTCTTAATCGGTGCATTTCACAATGCAAAGCCAAGTGCAAAACTTTAAGATCGTTTAGTTCTTGCACTCAAAAAAACATATTACAAAATAAGTAGTGATTCAGTATGAAAATAACTAAGCTTATATCTATGTGATTCTTAAATAATAATCCTTTTGCAAGCTGAGCATTCATCAGTTTTAATACAAACCTCTTAGGGGATGAATATTTACAAATATTTATTATTTTTTGGCATTACTCTATGTTTAAAGAAAATAAATATTCTTTAAATAGTTGTTTTCGAATAAAAAGACTTTATGAATTACACAAATTTCATTTAAGAAAAGTCACTGACAGTTCACCTAAAATGTGTCTGAACGTTGCTAGCAAGAATTTGAAATTGAGGATCGCTCGCTCGATTTTCTCCGCGTGTAAATCCGCTTAGCAGCCAACTTTTATGACCCTTGGGTCCGGTGACCCTATAGTAGCAGTCTGATCTCTGCGTCTGTGTTCCGCTTAAAACGCTTGATGCGACATCGTTTCGAGGCAGTTGCTATCTAGAACCCCCGTCGCAATGTTCTGGCTCGGTTTCGGTCTCCTGTCGGTCGCATTGACCCTATATCTGCTTTATGTCTTCGAGCGCCAACGAAGGATCGACTGCCTCACTCACAATTGGCCAGCTCCACCGGCCCTGCCGATCATTGGGCATCTCCACATCCTGGCCAAGCTGGTGGGACCGCATCCTTTGCGCCGCGCCACCGAAATGATCACCAATCATCTGAAGGATCATCGGGGGAAACTTTGGATGGGCACCAAGCTCTACCTCCTGGACTGCAATCCCAAGGACATTCAGGCTCTGTGCAGCGCTCAGCAGTTGTTGCAGAAGACCAATGACTACGCGGTGTTTGAGAACTGGCTCTGCGAGGGTCTCTTCACGAGTGGTTTCGAGAAGTGGTCCCATCGCCGGAAGATTATCATGCCGGCCTTTAATTACGCCATGATCAGGCAGTTTGTGGGGGTCTTCGAGCGGCAGTCGCGGATTCTTCTGTCCAGGGTAACGGAGTTCGCAGAATCCGGGGAACCGTTGGACTTCCTCAAACTGATCAGTTGCTTCACGCTGGACACTATTTGCGAAACTGCCCTCGGGGTATCTGTGGGTTCTCTCTCAAATGATAAATCGGACTATCTCGATGCAGTGAAAGAGTAAGTTGGCTGCACTTGTACCTACTATAGAAACATTCCCTTGGAGACAAGTTAGTTTCGTATAAGTCAACAAATACAATATGATTAATCATGCATTTTCACACGTTAGTAGAACAAAACAAACATTTGTTCAGACATAAAACTACTAGTTGACCCTTTCGTTCAACACAATGTGATAATGTGATTTATTTACTAAAAAAGTATAAATGAGTTTATTTTACTTGTGAATATCAGTTGAAACTGTGAGATTTACATCCACTTTTTCTGATTATCCATATATTTTGCTTCATTGGTTTTTGGTAGTATTGGTATTTGTTATTGGGAACATTCTTTTAAATGCTAAGCAGATTCTTTATAACAATTAAAATGTGTAGGGGAGAGTGGGGTAATTTCGTCACAGGGGCAATTTCGTCACCTGCAATATCTCGGAATCCATAAGTCTTAAAAATATATAATTTTGTTTGTTTTAGTCCCTCAAGACGGCATGACACAACCAATGCATTTTTTTTGCACAGAAGGCCAAGATAATTAAGCTATAATATTAAATGTGTTTTAACAGTTCAAAAGCTACATTTAGTTCTCGACGAAATTTTTTCTGTATGCCACAATTCAAAAGAAATAAAAATACACGATTTTTTATATAATACACAGTGCTATAATGTGCATTTCTGCGTTAGTGGTTTTTAACTTCGCGCCTAATTTCGGAAGAAAAATAATTATTTATAAAAAAGTACTGTCTGGGGAAATTTCGCCACCCTATGCTTAGGGTAAATTCGCACCTATTTTAAATACATATTTTTCTATTTGACGAGCTGGCTAACGAACAGACTACCGGCAGTAGCAACAAATATAGGACGTCAACAAAAATGGTACGCTTGATCAGTGTAGCATACTTACAGGCGTAAAGTTCCCTTCATTTTTCAGGTGATAAAATTGCCCCAGTGGTGTGGCGATTTTACCCCCCTATGTGGCGAGATTGCCCCAGTATATTGGTTTTACTTTTAAATTTTTTATAAATCACCAAGGTAATTAAAAAAATAGGGGAATGTCACATTTTAAAGCTTGGTGCTAACCGCATTCAACAATAAAAATAGAAATATGATAACGTGTCTCAAGATGGACAAAAAATAGCTTTGAAAAAATGATTACGAAATTACCCCACTCTCCCCTACATAGCTCAATAGAAAAATCATATAAAATAAATTAAAAGTTACAAATTTCCTTCTTTCTGTTATTCTAAAAGCTAAGAAAAAGTATAATACCCTGATCTAGTTAAAATGTTGACTAATTTTACGTTTCTTTGCATTCTCACAGGATCCTTGTGATCATCGATGCACGGTTAAAGAACATTTTCTACCGCAGTTCTTTTATATTTCGACGCACATCGCATTTTAAACGAGAACAGGAGTTACTGTTAACACTTCATGGTTTCACTGAGGGCATTATCCAAAAGCGAATGGATGAGATCAGTCAGGATGCGGAGAATTACAATTCCCAGACCACTAAGAATGCAGAAATGGAAGGAGGCAAGCGAACGCTCTGCTTTCTAGATAGTTTGCTCCAGGCCAAAGGACCCACTGGCCAACCTTTGACCGTCAAGGATATTCGCGAGGAAGTGGACACCATTATATTCGGGGGCTTTGATCTCACTGCCACCACTTTGAAGTTCTTTATGTACAACATGACCCTTTATCCGGAGCACCAGGAGCGTTGCCGCGAGGAGGTGTGGTCGGTGTGCGGCAGGGACAAAAGCGAACCCATCTCCATGGAGCAGGTGCGTCAACTGGAGTTCCTAGAGGCTTGTGTGAAGGAGACGCTGAGAATGTATCCTTCGGGTCCACTCACGGCCAGGAAAGCCACGGCTAACTGCCAAATAAGTAAGTCCTGTTTATTTGTACCTCTAAATTAAAAATACCATTCCATACATCTCTAATAATTCGGGTTTATTATCCGCCCCTTTAATCAAAAAAAAAGAAATACTTAACTTATACCTATTTATTATTTTTTATATTTATTATTTTCTTTATATAATTAATTTGCTTAATTCATCTTCAGATGATTTCTTCATACCCAAGGGCAGCGATGTGATCATTTCCCCAATTTACATGGGTCGCTGCAAGGATTTCTTTCCGGATCCGTTGGTCTTCAAGCCTGATCGCTGGTCCAGTGGAGCGGAGCCCAAGATCGAGGCCACCACTTTTATACCATTCATGGCTGGAGCACGGAGTTGTTTGGGCCAGCGATATGCGATGGTGATGCTCAAGGTGGTTTTGGCACACCTGCTTAGGAACTTTCTATTCGAGCCCCTTGGCGAGCGCCAGGTGAAAATGAAACTTAACTTTGTCATCACCCTGCACACCGTTGATCCCTATCTTTGTAGAGTCAAGAAAATCGATTGAGGCTAGGCAGAAGTCTATTGACTTGGCCAAGGTCTTTGACAATAAAGTTAGCTAATTTACTAGATACTAAAAGATAAGCCATTCTTTGTATTTTTTTAAATTTGTCTCGGAAAATGTATGGCCATGCTTAACAATATTAGATTGAGATTATACCGAAATCAGAAGTCTAAATAGTGTGGCTGACATTAACGAATCTAGATATTCCAAATTTCCTGAATTTAGTTTTATATACATTTTTTTCTCCTGCCATTCTACCATTGAACCTTTAAAACATACCCTTTCCAATTCGTTTCACTTTATTCCGTTCAAAAAGGTTCAATTTCTTTGCGAAGCACAACATTTCCGTTTTTAATGATTTATAAAAAGAAAATTCTGTACAATTTGGAGCATTTTCTGCCTGCCCATTTTTATGGGATTTGAGCGGGGCGCGTTCGTCTAGAAAATAATTTCTGGCTGGCGTGGATTTTTATTGTGGCAACCGAGCAGCGGAAAATCAACAAACATTTCCTGGTGCTGTAATAAATAAAAATGCATAAAGCAGCCACCAAACCGTCGCCAGTCAGTCATTCGGTCTGTCCTTATCCTGGGCAAAATACACACACTCCCATATCACCATTATCCGCCAACATCATCATCGGATTCCGGTGCAAATTATGAGCGCTGCCTGCTTATTATTGTGGCAGTCGTGGGGGTGGAGAAGGCGGAGGAATATAAAATGCAATTTATTTAAATAAAAATCAAGTTTAATTCGCAGTGTCGTAAATTTTTCTTTTATTTTTTATACCCTTCAGCTCGTCCCGGGCATTGAATTTCACGCTTTTGTTAACAAGCGCATAAAAGTTTGTTCTATCTGCCAACTGATACGTTTCTGGTATTGGAACTGGAAGAAGGGGTTCGAAGATTGTTGAACTCGGTGGCTGATTGGTGGTGGGACTTTGGGGCGGGTGGATTTTTATGTATGGTAGATGGGTATATTGAGGAATGAAATATTCTAGCCAATTTCCAAGCATTCGAAAATGACGATATAAATATATTTAACTAAAGATTTTTGTTATTTAAAACTTTAATATTGAGAATGATTTATAAATTAAATGCATTCCATGCACAGAGCCTAGTTTAAGTTAAAAACTAAGATTCAATTGATTGATCCCTGCAATACTATTAAATTATTTTTGGAGTATAGAAACGTTTCAAAAATGCTATAGGCACCAATATTGCAATCTATAGTTTATTTTATTATATATATTACACTGCTCTTATCAAGACTGCAGCTTTCAGAGGTACTGCTCCATGTCCAGTAGTGTAAACAAGAAATAAAACAAAATCAAAATTAAATAAAAAACAATCTTATTTATTGACATTAATGTTGGTGAGCTTTGATAACACTTAATCTAAAGCTGAGTGGATTGCATTTATTGATTGGAATCCGGCTGTCTTCTATTCGATTTCCATTAGTTGCAATTTGAGAACAGAGCAAAGCAGTCGGGAATTTTTGTTTGTTTTAGTACAATGGAAAAGTTAATACTTTTCTTATTTGTTGTTTTGCTACATGTTATATTTATAACTTCTCATCCAACTTTACAACGTGTTAATAATATCAAGTTAAATTCAAGCGAAAAAAGTGTTAATTTCAATGTAGAACTTCCCAACAATGAAATTATGACTGTAAATCTGTCCTTTCAAATGATGACTCCCAATAACCAAGTTAACACGGATGAGGAAGATCGACCTTCAAGAGGATTTCCAGTAGATTACCGCAGAGATGCCCCCCCAGGTTTTATTGAGTGTTATCATCCAAGATGTTTAGACGATTATGAACAACTCTTACACATGACTATTACTTAAGAAACAAAATCAAAAGGAAATTAGAATGTTTATAAAAATCATTATCAATAGGAATTGTAAAAAAATAACAACAATGAAGTGAATTTATTGCTTATTAAATGCAAATGTAACAAATGTAACGTATCAATACAAAAAAAAAATCTACAAAAAACGGTTTATAATGTTGTATAATATTAATTTGAATATTTTGTAAACGAAATGAAATAAAAATAAATTTCAAAAAATCTCAAAGCCAATGCATTCCGGAGTTCAAATAATCATGAGTTCATCTTGATAAGTAATACACATTTTATAAACACAATTACATGTTTAATATGCACTAAAACAAATCAATAAATAAAATAAGTCTAAGGTCAAAGCATCGCAATTCAAGTAACTGGTTTATTAAACAAATTGTTATTATGCATTTACAGAATTTTTCAGTTCATCCGGTTTTCAGTTTGACCCGGTAGCTTTTTTAATGCTCAGCCGGAATAAATTTGTAACAGAATTAAAAATCTTAAAAGCTGAACAAAAAAATGAGTGCACTTGATAAACAAATTAAGGCGCACATTTTTTAATGTCCACTTGGACTTTTATGACCAACCCAACCCACTAAGCTCCTTTCCAAATCCATCTCGAAATTAAAATATTCGCCTTAGGAACATGTTCCTAAAATTTGGAGTGCCTGGGCCAAATTTTACGATCATTTTATTGGGTTTGCATTCGCGAGGAGGCCTTAACCCTTCTGTTGGCACCCGCCATAACTTAATTATCCATATGAATCCTTCCAGGGTTTTATTGCGACCTAACCCGCGGCATTAATTATGATGAGTACTCGCTGCGTCTCTTCGTTTTAGTGTCAGCTGTCATATTTTTATTTATCTCAGTTCACAGATCTTCACGGTGGCTTTCTTGGGGTGTCGTCGCCCATTAAATAGATATGAAATCCAGGTCCATATCCTAAGCCCGGTCCAGACTTGACGCAATGTTTTATTGCCGCTGACTGGGCGCAGTTTTCATTTACACAGTTTTAATGTCCAGCATCTGTACATCGTGCATAAGTTTATGATGGAGCATAATTCACGGCGTTGCTCTCGTCAAAAGGCCCAAGGCGAGGGTTCTTAATTATAATAACTTCCAGCGGTATGGGGGTGTTTTGTATTATAAATTTTATTTTTGAATGGCTTACAAATGGCCGCACTCTTTTGGGATCTAACCCACTGTCTTTACATAGGCAGGGGAAAAAATCTTCTTCTTCGGAGTTTTACTAAAAGTCTTATAGAAAAATAGGTCTTTAATATTTATTTTTGCTAATCATAGGGGAGTGTAGGGTAAGGTGACGAACGATTCGTTTTTTGAATGTAACTTTTGTAAAAATCAATATTTTTCAAAAGTGTAAACGCAGAAAGTTGCTTACATCTACTGAGCATATCCCTGTAAAATTCGAAATTCGAAATTCCAATGCAGCTAAATCCCACAGCGTTTGGCGTGAACCCTACTTTTTTTACACTTTCAAAAGTTGTAGGGTAATGTGACGAACGATTTGTTCTTTAATGTAACTTCTCCAAAAATCAATATTTTTTAAAAGTGTAAAAGCAGAAAGTTGCTTACATTTACTGAGCATATTTCTAAAAAAATTTGGATTCGAAATTTCAACGTGGCCAAATCCCACAGCGTTTGGTGTAAACCATCCTTCTTACAAAAAAAAAAATAATTTTTTTATATATTATTTACGGAAAGGGTTTTTTCGATACGGAAAAGAAAAAAGTAATAAGATAATACCCAAACTTACAAAAAAAAAAAATGGTCAAAGTGCAAATTTTTTTTTAAATTAAATTAAACTGACGTCACTATTAAAAACAACAATAAAACTGCAGCAGTTAATGTTATCTGGTATTATTATATTTTTTTTACAAATAATCAACGATAACAGTTAAAATTCTTGAATAAAAATAGTTCGTCACAATACCCTACAAAAAGTTCGTCACGATACCCTACAAGGTAGACTTGGAGCAAAAACGGTGTCACTCTCAAACGGCGCAAAAGAAAAAAACGCGAGGTACCAAAAACTGTTGATAAAGATCTCATGTATACGTGCATATATTTGCCTGATTTTATTTTCCACTCATCTTTGCTCTGGCACTGCTGAAACACAAGTAAATTGAATGGGTTTGCTAGTTTGCGCACCACATTTTTAGCGAAAATTACCTCACGAACAAATTACGGGACTTCTTATTAATATTACTGTAAATACATTGTCGACACGATAAGGGGAGACGACTACATTTATTTGGAATTTTTGTCGTGACGTCATATATGAGATTCGACGAGTTCGTCACATTACCCTACTCGTCAAATTACCCTACACTCCCCTACTTATTTTCTAATAAAAAAACATACTTTTATTTGAGAGTTTGTAAAATAATTTTTTAAGGAACTTTGGCGCTCTTAAGTATTATAAACCCATAATGAGTTTTTCTCAATTAAAATGTGTGCCTTTAAAGTATTGTATTTATTAATTTTAACTTGTGAACTCAAGCTAAATGCAGCTTGTTTCGACCAAATGTGGTTTTCCTCACCACATTCCGGTCAATTCACATTCATTTCTCATTGTTTCAAGTTAAGTAAACCGTACTCCAACCCAAAATGTGAAAACAAATGAAAACCGCCTCCGACTCGTGGTTATTTGAGGTAAGCTGTGGCCAAGTGATGTGTGATGGGGTTTTGGATAGGGATGTTAGGGAATGGGTATTCGGTTGGAGTGGGTGGTGAGTTGAAGGCGACTTTGAAGTAATCGGCCCCGGTGACATTGCCCCACGGCTAAGCCTCATTTGTGGTTGAATTGTGTCGCTGGGCGGCAGCTGAAAGTCGATTACGTCAATATTGTCCTAGGTTTACGACGGCCCCACGGCTAATGGCTAATGGATGGTGCCCATTTGCTCCTGGATCGCATAGCAGTTTGGGGGTGCATATTTGCGATAAGCTGTAAGTTTGCGGCCTTCCTAGCCGCAACTCATATGCTAATTAGTGTGGCATACTTTAAGGTTCCGGAAATGCATTAAATCCGAAAACTTAACGATCCGAAGAGAGGGCGGTCCAAATGCTAGCATACCGCTATAAACTTGCTGTGGAAATACATAAAAATCCGTTGGAATACATTTAGAAATCGAATTACATGCGAGTTGTGAAAAAAGGGAAGCAAATAAAAGGAGTAGCTGCTCTACACATTAAAAACGCATAAA